TATAAAAAACAAACAATAAGCTTTAATTTCCACAAGGGATACAAAGTACGTCCGTCCGTGGAGGTGACAAAGCAGTTATGTGTTTTGGTGTGACGTCATGACTTCCGGGTCACGTGCCGACTGTGAGAGGGCGCTGCCTCCTGAGCTGGTTGGGACAACTTTCTTCAGCAGCTGGATCTCACACAGTTCGTCTCTCTGTCAAAGACAGCAGTAAATGCAATACAGAGTAATGCAGGATAAGTTAAAAAATTAAGAATTTTGCTCTTTCTTTGAATAAAATTTCTAATGATTTATACATTGATATATTTTTCAACCTTCTGATTGTCTGCTCTGATTTTCCTGTTCCAACATGGTTTATTAATTACAGTAAAGGAACAATGAAAATCTTCCATATGACTACCATATTTGTAAAATGGGTAAGCTCAATTCTGATTGGACCATTTGAAACTTTCAACCAGTGAAAGGTGCTGACAACCAAGGGAAATGACATGAAAACCTAGTTGCACCCTGGTCCCATTAATTTGTCAAAGTTAACTGAAGTACCCACAGTTAGATGACAATAAAAGCATCACACAGGCACCAGTGGTGACACACATGCTACAGAAAGCTTTAAGGTATTGTGTGTGTTAAAAAATCATTGGGTAGAAAAGTAAGTGTATACTGTTATATTACTGTACACACATTGCACACACTGTATAATATACACACATTACATAAACTGGATACTGTTCACATTGTATACACACTGTATAATGTAAACACACTGCATACTGTATACTGTACATACATTGCACACACACTGTATACTGTACATACATTGAACACACTGTATACTGTACACATTGTATACACACTATATACTGTACACACATTGTATACACACAGTATACTGTAAGCATCCTGAATACTGTACACACACTGTATACTGTACACATTGTATACACACCGTATACTGTACAAACATTCTATTCAGTACCCACCTTGTATAGACACTGTACACACTTTGTATATACAAGGTATACTGTACACACATTGTATGTATACTGTACACATTGTATGCTCACTATACAGTACACAAATCATTTACACTGTAAACTGCACACATTGTATACTATACACACTGTAAACTGTACAAACATACACACATTGTATACTGTACACACATTACATACACACTGTATACATACATTGTAAACACACTTTATACTGTACACACATTGTCTACACTGTATACTGTACAAACATTGTACACACATACCTACACACTGTATACTGTACAAACAATGAGTGAGTGAGTTGAGTTTAACCCCGCTTTTAACAGTATTCCAGTTATATCGCGACGTGTCAGCTTAATGCGGGTGGAAAGCTTGAAGTGATGCAGGTCTTAGACGTCTACCAGTTCGGTGAAACCCAAGAGCACGGGTATGGTGCTGACAAACCTAGAAACATAACCGGGATTCGACCCACAATCATAGGTTTCTGGCGTGCCCAAGGGACGCAACTCTGCACAGCGAATAACGGCGCCTTACACGACTGGGCCACCCGTGCCCCCTGTACATATTGTATACTGTACAAACATTGTATACACACTATACTGTAGACACATTGCATACACTGTACACTGTACACCCCATGTATAGACACTGTATACTGTACAAACATTGTATACACACTATACTGTAGACACATTGCATACACTGTACACTGTACACCCCATGTATAGACACTGTATACTGTACAAACATTGTATACACACTATACTGTAGACACATTGCATACACTGTACACTGTACACCCCATGTATAGACACTGTATACTGTACAAACATTGTATACACACTATACTGTAGACACATTGCATACACTGTACACTGTACACCCCATGTATAGACACTGTATACTGTACAAACATTGTATACACACTATACTGTAGACACATTGCATACACTGTACACTGTACACCCCATGTATAGACACTGTATACTGTACAAACATTGTATATACACTATACTGTAGACACATTGCATACACTGTACACTGTACACCCCATGTATAGACACTGTATACTATGCATACATTGTATATATACACTGTATATACACACTATACTGTATACACATTGTAAAGACACTGTGTACTGTACACATTGTATAGACACTAGGGCTGCAATGAATAAGATTCGTATCACAAACTGACGAATATAGGGTAACGAATACGAATCTTTATTCACGAATTCAATAACAACTCAGCAGTTGATGTATTATTTGTTATATTCAATGAAAAATTAACAACATAAATTATTTGACATGGTTGGTTAATTATCAATATATTTACATTTGTATACTGCACTTATCCAGGTACTAGTATCTGCTCAAATAGTGAAATACGACAATGACCAGTGACAAAAATACTATCAAATTAAACATATGAGTGTTGTCTTTATAGAAATCTATGCATATGTTATATAATGTTCTTATGGATATTTTTTAGGTACATGGTATGTAAGTGCACATGACTGCATATTCGTAAACAGTCGATTCTAGTGACCATGAATAATGAATTGATTGAATTTAATTCATGAATGGATACGGTTTGATTCACCAAATATGTGAGTGAATCGTAACAGCCCTATTAGACACTGTATACTGTACACACATTCGATAGACACTACATACTGTACACACATTGTATACACATATAGTGTACAGTAAAGCATAGTGTATTGCTCAACAGCAATCTTGCAGCTGTTGGGAGGGCAGTGTGCATAGTATAAACAGTGTGTGATGTGTGTTAGGATGGGACCACACTCAGCATGCTGAGTGAGGTGGCCTAAACTATTGTCGGATATTTATTAAATATGAATCATAGGATTATGAAAATAGCATATATCAAAATAACGCAAATCTACCTAATCTGGCGTATTCTAACTGACACTGTGATTAGCCTAAAAATGAAAAATGGTGATCTACTTAGAAGATAATCATATATTGTTATGCATGAGTGAAACGGCCTATAGCACCTGTCCTGAGGTCATGACCTCACACCGGCCCGTGCATTTGCAAGACTACATCAAAATTATCAAACGGGGTTGCATGCGCATATTCGTATAATCTGTTTCAGACTTCTATCATTGGACGTTTAAATCTGAACTTGATGTTTTCGTTCAAATGTTTCTGGTGCAAAATTGTCAATAGGACACCTTTTGACTGAAATACTTCAAATCACAGTCAGGGAGGTAGGGAGGTCGGTAGTTACTCGATACTTCAATAGCAACAGTCTGTGAAACATTCTACAGTCAAGTCCTGTTTATCCGACAACGATGGTTGCATATGATTATGTCAGATTAACGAGTATGTCGCATAAACGAAATTAAGTACAGTAGAGCACGGATATAACGAACTACAAGGGACCAGAGAAATCAGTTTGTTATATCCGTTGTTCGTTATACACGTTTCGCTCGGAAACGTTTGCCATCTTGGATAAGACAAAACACAATACACGTAATTGCAGTGTTACACGTGAAATCTTCATGGCCTAATTTCACTGCAAGTTTGCCAGCTTTGGTCTGCAGTAACGGACCACTAAGCGTAATGTTTTCCCTTCTCACGGCTTGAAACCACTTGAAGAGGGCGTCCTCTACGTCTTGGTGATTGGCAGCTCGTAACCTCATCCGGGCGGGGCCAAAGTCAGTTGAGTCGCAGGATTCAAGAATGGATTCTCTCTTCTTCATAATTGCAATGTCTTTCTTGGTTTTTATGCCAGCATCAACAGCATTAATAATTCTCAATTTCGTGTCTAAACTGATAGCTTTCCTCTAACTATTGCCCGCTGTGATAGCATATGCAAGTGAACTGACACTTGGAGACAATCTCGTAAACTGTATATGTTTAATGTTTGTTTTACAGACAAGATTACATGTGCAGGTAAGATTAACACAATGCAAATTTAACAAGGTTGATCCGTCACAGCTGATTGTATTGATTCGCCACCATTGTGTTGATTCGCCGCTGATTGCGTACAGACAATTGTCAGTGACACTTGACACTGAAAGATTTCTCAGTTCGCTATACACGTCACTAATTAGTGATAGATGTGATTGTCGGTGAACAGATATCAGTTCGCTGTATCTGTTAGTTCGCTGTAGAGAGTGCGTTTATACGTAAATTTTATATGATATTATATAGGAGATAAATCGGGATTTTTTAACAGTTCGTTGTATCCGTTTGTTCGCTATATCCGTGTTCTACTGTAGTATCAATATTCGTGATCGAAATACGGACAATAACTACAAGGATTCAAACACGTAATAAAAAATATAAAATAAATATTCATATTGTTAAGTTACATTGTTGACTGAATATGTCTTCTAATCATGCAACCTCTAAAGTTTAACACAAAACAACTGTTACAGACTGTATGACTTATTCAAAATACTTTAAGAAAGCTGCTTTCTAAGTGGCTAACGTCGACTTCCTATTGGTCATTTCATTGGTAGGTCATGGTTCGCGAAAGGTTGTTCTATCGTGACCTGTAATTGAATGTCCTCGCCGATAGCGAGAACTTGTATCTGATTTTAATAAGATTGTGGTAATCTAAGATGTGATTTATCCTGTTTTCTTCATTTAAAGCATTAATTGTTTATTGTTAAGTAACTTTATCTCTGCAGCCGTTGTAATATGCAGCTACCAGCTGATTCATCTCGCATCAAAACAGGGGCTGTGCAATCGCGGGCAGAAGACCACAGAGTACACTGATCACTGTCGGATTAACAAGACTGATTAATGAGTGATTTCAGTAATTCGTTGCAAATTAGGTGTGTCGGAGTCGGAGGGCGAGACTGTCGGATTGACGGGTCTAAATAGCACTCATTTAATCGGTTCCCATGATTAGTGTCTGATAAAGCCGATTGTAGGATTAACAAGTGTCGGATTAACAAGGCTTGACTGTATCTTGTTTTAATGGGTAGAAAGTATTTTTCTAGCATTTCTGACAGTTTTTTACCTATTGTTGTGTTTAGTCAGCTCCACTGCCTCTGCAATAGTCTTCTGTACATCAGTTGGCAGTAGACGCAGGTTCCCCAGTACTCGAATACACACACCATGCTTCTCAATCAGCTCCCTGAAACAATGCATATGTTAATATCAACTAGGTCCAAATAATAAACAGAGTTCACATGACTGGAACATCCAGAAATCTCATGAAACAGAAAGGGAGGAATCAGCAAGTCCAATCATGAGGTGAGTAAATGATTGAAGTTGGTGGCTCTCCAGTAGCAAAGGATGGGCTTAGCGTAACAAAATCGACGTCCAGTTCGTTAACAACAAGGCAACTGCTGTGAGATTTTGGTCAATTGCAGGGTTTGCTAAGCATGTGTACCGTTAACAAATATTTTCCAAATCTTTTCAGGTTCTTAATCAACATGCTAAAGTGATTTGATGCACTAAGTGAGGTAAGACCTGTTTTATTACATAAGGCTAACAAAAATAATAATAGTCTTGGTTCTCAGGCACCGGCCGCATCATTATAAAGTCCACCGCACATTTGGTTTTATTTCAATTTTCAAAAACTATTTAAAAATTCTTAAATATTTCACGTCTCAAAAACACAACCCTGGCAGTGAAATGTTACAATACTTAATAACATTTGCAATCCAAAATATTGTGCAGTTACTTTCCTTTACATGCGTACTGCTTTCTTGCACATCTCTTGTTATGGTCATGGTGGCAATTTATTTGCTTGTGTGCTTGTTAGGTGAATGAAAACATGAAATTTACGATAGATATCACTAGACATGATGATTTACAAATTCAATGGTATTTGTGTACTGTATGCAGGACAATGTTTAATACGTAGAAATTAACATTACATGTGTACATGTGTATGTCAAATAGCAATAAGCTGTTCACACATTTTCTCCTCTATCTATGGGTGATAATAAAAAATACTAAATGCCATGGCCAATATCGTACCTGAAAAGAAATTTCAATACAGTGACAGGAAGACCTAAGACTTTGTATCTCTAATGACTAAATTTTGTTTTATGGAGACTTCATCGTGAGGTGATGTAACTTGCTCATCAGCACGATCAGTTCATACACAATTTCGCGGAAATTAATGTAAACAAAATTGAATGAAATCAAGGATAAACAATGAAGACTTTTATAGCTCATGGAATGCATGCTGGACCAAAAAAACTTTTTTTTCTGTTAAAAATAAGAAGTAAATGCATCAAGGAGTAATGTGGGTCAAATAAAAAATATAATATATATTTTACGTGAATACTCTGAAAAGTAACCAAGGGCGCCTGGATGACCAAAGGGAAGGATGAATTGCAATATGTTATGCCATGCTAAAAAAATAACTAAATAATTTATTTGTTTTGTCATTCCATCAACTTACTTTTCCTCGAGGAGTCGGGCAAACTTCTTCCTGGCCAGTTCCATGAGACAGTCTACCTCCTCCTTGGACCGTTTGAAGTTTTCAATGCTGAAGGCGTACACAGTCACCTCACAGATGCCCAGGTCCAGACACCAATCAAGTGTCTGCAAGCAATAGTCACAGGTCACAGAGTCAGAGACAGCCAAGTCTGCACCATTCAACACGAGGTCAAAATGTAATTTTAGTAAAATCTAAATATTTTTTACATTTGTAGATTAAATTATTATTCTGCAGTACTCCTTAATGCATTTACTGCTGTATTCTGACAGAGAGACTACTGTGTGAGATCCAGCTGTTAAAGAAAAGTTGTTCCAACCAGTAACTGGCATCTCCCTCTCACAGTCAGCATGTGACCCGGAAGTGATGACGTCACATTACTGCTGCAAACATAACATCTGAACTTCGTGAGGAGGCATTGCAGTAAAGGGAGGGCACTTAGACGTAGTAATGCAGGATAAGTATACAAATGTAAAACATATTTGGATTTTACTAAATGTTTTGACTTATCCTGCATTAAGGCAGGTGGGCATACCTTCAGATGTGAACCATAATAAACCTTTGTTAAGGTCTGATGAACCAGCAGAAAGTGATGGAACATCAATGACCATTCCTGTAAGAAGCAGACGAGAGCTGATGCATCAGGACAACCAAATAGGTGGCAGAAATAGAATGAAGCGGGTAGCCCAAAACTAGAACTGACCTAAGAGCGAATGCGGAATGCAGTAGAGCCCTCTAATCTGGGTTGATATACACTGGAGAGTTCATTCAGAAAATCAGGATTGGTGACATGTTGTCCATCACCAGGGGACCAAAACTGTAGACTTCGGCGACATCCCCCAGGGCTACGTCACGGAGGTAGTGTGTGGTGAAGATGTAGTCAGATTGCCCAAAACAGCCTTCCATGATCGATTTGATGGGGCACTTGCTATGAAGAGCAAGTGAATGTTCACCATGCCCTCACCACGAGGCCAGGCTCACCTTGAGTGACAAATTTCCAATTCTATGAAAACCGAGCATGTATCAGCCAAGTGGATCGTGGGGGCTTTGAAGGACCGGCTTCAACTAACATGTGAGCTCCTTCAGTCACATAAAAGGAGTGAACCCGGAGGTCATCTCTCCTAAAGTGTGATGCTTTAAACAACGGGGTTAAGGAAAGAGTCGCAAAAATCCCTATCCAGTGCCGAGGCGAGAACTGTCATAGAAGGGTGGTGCTGTGTGAGCATCAGGATTGCTGTGAGTGCCGGAGGAGCTGTGGAGACCAACCGCTGATGCCAAGGTATGGTAGACAAGAGTTGGCGCCGGTGACATAGAAGGCAGAGGAGCTGTAGTAGCAAGGTGACGGCAAGGGTGGTGTAGGAGACCACAATAAGGCATAGGTCTCGATGAAGGGGGGAGTCACAGAGATGTTAGTCATACCAGGCTGTCGACAGCACGTTGAGTAAGACGTTTCCTAGTTACTTGTATGTAGGAGTTGCAGGAGCATGGCGACAAGGGACCGCAATATTGGCATTGTGCTGTGAAAGTACAGGGCATCGTACAATCAAAGGAGAGAGGGTGGGGGTCCCGATTAGATTTGTTCCTGCGGCAGCGAGTACAATGAGGCATAAATTCTACAATTTGAGCAAAGGCATATTGATGTGGCAAGCACACAACAGGAACCATGAGGCATAATGTAACTCAAAAACTTTTCGTTTTTTAAAAGTTTACGCGAGCAAATAATTACGCATATAGTAGTGAAAAGCAAAGCTTTAAAACAAACACAAGGTTAATAAAAAATGTAAAAATATCATCTATATTTATCCTGACTCATACTTATTACTCATGTGTATGAGTCAGAACAAGATAAAATTTAATCGATTACCCAGGCCAAATAAAAGAATTCAGAAAGCAAGAAACGAAAGTTTGTGGCAACAAGTTGAATTCAAAATGGCAGATGGAACAATACACCCGTGAATTACCGTGACTAGAGCCACAAACAAGCGACAAAATGTTAACAAAATATGTATGGGAAGACCACAAAGGGCACAAACCATACAGAGAAGACAACATAATAGTAAATGATGAAAGTAGAATACGCAATGAAGCAAAACAATAGGCTTTATTTCCACAAGGGATACAGCAGTACGTCCATTCGTGGAGGTGACAAAGCAGTAATGTGATCTATGTGTCGTCATCGCTTCCTGGTCACGTGCCGACTGTGTGAGGGTGCTGCCAGTAACTGGTTGGAACAACTTTTCTTTAGCAGCTGGATCCCACACAGTACATCTTTCTGTCAGAAAACAGTAGTAAATGCATTAAGGAGTATAGCAGGATTAGTTAAAAAAATTGTACCTTTCTGTTGAGCTCATAAGAGGATGCATTTTTGAGTAAAATCTGTTGAAAAACTTCAGCTGATCTTTCCCATCATCCTACCTCAGCAAGTTTGTCAAATCCCTTCAGATGTCCCTCAGCCTTCTCCATGCTGTTCTTGGCAGCAAAGCGCCGGTTGCCGTCCATGATGATGCCGATGTGTTTGGGGACTGGGCCGGCCTTTAGCACAGACGCACACATTCTCTGCATCCATGACCGGTTCCGCCGCTCAGGGAACCACGACATCTGTATAAACATCAGGATGTTTACATATATATGTATCAAAATATGCATAACCATCACAACAAAGTATTCACTTCTCACAAAAGCATCATTCTCTTAAAGGACAAGTAAAGTCAACATTGCAACTTTGCAGATTTCAATACTTAAGGGCTTAATTAATCACAGATGCTTGACTAACATTAAACTTGAAAATGGGAAATAGCGTAAAACAGACGATAAAAGACGACAGGTGAAATCTGATGAGGACATCCCATTGCGGGTCATGTCAGAACAACCTTTCATTTGACCAATCAGAGCGTCGCTTACCAGAATATGAAAGTGACAGTCGGAATGTGATTTTTAATCATGCAACCTCGAAACGTCAACACGGGGTATTCCGAACGACAGTAACGACTTGTACAACTGATTCCGTCAAAATTATCGTCTATCTCTCGCTTCAGTGGGATAAACATTTGAACGGAGGAGGCGTTGAACAGTATCTGGGAAGTACTGCCTTACAATCTCAACCAAATATTAGACAATCCGAAATGTTTGTTTGTTCAGTTTTCTATTTTTTTTATCGAGAACTGTGTCAACATATTTATCAAGCTTAGTCTGAAATGGAAGTCGCCAGGTTGAAACGAGTGCCGTAAAGCTCAAGAAAGCTGCTTTCTAATTGGCTGATGTCGACTTCTTGTTATTCATTTCAGTGGTCGGTCAAAGGTCACGAAAGGTTGTTCTAAAGTGACCTGTAATGGGATGTCCTCGGATCTTTGTTTAGCAGCAGCGACAACTCAGATATGATTTTAATGGGATTGGAAGATGTGACAAAGTAGTCACTTCTAATAGTGGTGGAAGGAAGGAAGGCACTATTACTCAGACGTGTTTGGTTGAGAAGTTTCAATATGAAATGGAACAATGTCTGCACAGGCGAAGGACCTATTTCTAATGATAGATCTATCAAGTCTGTTGAGAAGCTTATGGACAAGTACAAGGGTGTACTTGAAGGAAGAGGAACCATTTACAATTTCAAGGCTGACATCAAGGTAAAGCCTGAGACAGTACACAAAATTCTGCAAAGCAAGGCCAGTACCATGTGCGCAAACAGAAGCTGTAGAAGCAGAACTAGATAGACTTGCAAGGGCAGGGTTGTGAAGAAAACTGAATGTTCTGATTGGGCATCCCCAATCGTGATTGTCCCCAAGTCTGACATGTTGCTGTGCATATGTAGAGACTGCAAAGTGACAATAAATTCTTCACTGGAATCCAAGGTTATACCCCATGGCAACAGCGGAGGATCTCTTCTCTGAACTATCAGCAGCTAAGGTGGTCAGTAAGGTGGACTTCTCAAGTATGAGGGCTTGCTGAAAAGTTCTAAGCCTAAGTGGGATATCAAAATCAGATTGAAACAAACTTATGCCACCAACAAGGACAATCATTTAATGAATCATAGACATAAGAACTGCAACTGCAGTGTTAATTTTGTCTTTGTACCAGACCATCTTGTGAAACTACCCATTGAAATCACCAGAAATGGACAAAACTGGCTATAGGGCAGTCATCAAGTCACCTACAACTGAAAGGGCTAACTCCAACACAGATAAATGCTGACATGGTCTCCACTTTAGGGGATGATCCCCCTTCCTTTTCCACTGTAAAGAAGTGGACTGCGGAATTCAAGCGTGGCAGAGAGAGCCTTGACGATGACCTGCGTCCAGGAAGGCCTTCAACAGCAACCATTCCGGAAAACATTACCCGGGTGCATGACATGGTGATGGCTGATCGTCGATTGACCACTCGACATATTGCCAGTGTTGTGGGCATCTCTCATGAGAGGGTTGAGCACATTATCACCAACGAGTTGGGAATGACAAAAGTTTCTGCAAATTGGGTGCCAAAGCTCTTGACATCGGGCCAGAAACGTGTCAGTCCTGAAGTTTTGAAGTAGATCCCGATGATTTTTTGGCCCGATTTGTAACAATGGATGAGACCTGGATTCATCACTTTCAACCAGAAACCAAAATTCAGTTTCATCAATGGAAGCATCCGGAATCACCAGCCCCCCAAAAGCCAAGTTGGTTCCTTCATCTGGAAAGATGATGGCTTCATTCTTTTGGGATTCCTAGGGTATTCTGCTAATTGACTATCTTTAAAAAAGGCCAGCCTATCAATGGAAGTTATTATGGAGACAGTTGCGTGAAGCGACAGGGAATGCTCACTAAAGGAGTCCTGTTCCACCAAGACAATGCTCCTGTTCACAAATCGGTGGTTGCCATGTCAGCGATCCATGATTGTGGCTTCGAACGCATTGACCATCTCCCTTATTCACCTGATTTGGCCCCGTCAGACTTCCACCCTTCCCCAAAATGAAAAAGGAACTAGCTGGTCGCCATTTTCCTAGTAATGATGACGCCATTTCCGCTGTGAATGACTTTTTTAGGGTGGCTGAAGAAAATTTCTTCTTGACCGGCAGCCAGGCCTTGCAGCATCGCTGGCAAAAGTGTGTAAACCTGGAAGGGGACTATGTGAAAACCATCGACTTGGTATGGGTCTTTCACAGTTAGGCTTAGAACTTTTCAGCCAGCCCTTGTACATACCAAAAGCTTGAACTGTCAGAGACCTCTTAGCCCTTGCTGGTTATAAACACTCATAAAGGATTGTATGAGTATCAGTAGTTGTCATTAAGAGTTTCCACAGCTCCTGCAATCTTCTAGTGTATTATGGAACAGATAATCCAAGGAATAGATGGGTTTGAAGTTTTGTTGGGTGATATCCTGATGGGTACAGAAGAGAAATGCAACAATTGGGCTTGGTGGATAGAGTCCTAGGAAGGCTAGCAGAACATGGAATCAAACTCAAGTTGAACAAGTGCAGATTGACAGACTTCAAAGATGTGCGCTTATCCTCATGGCGCACAACTACGAAATCTGACATAAAGTCAGAAGAACATGCCGACTGTCTGTCAAGACTACCATGGGAGTCTTCAACTGTAGCAACAGAGGCGAAAGTAAACTATGTCTGCTACACAGAGAACTAGCCGATATCATCGGACAGATTGCAGAGGTAACAAAGAAAGATACCGCCCTTTCAAGAGTACACATACAGAAACCAAAATCCTGTGAATGACAGTGAACTCCAGCCCTACTTCATGCGTCGTCCAGAGCTGTCAGTAGACCAGGGATGCCTACTTTGGGGAATGTGGGTAATCATACCACCCAGATTGCAGGCAGCAGTATAGCAAGAGTTGCATACAGACACAGTGGCATCATCAGAATGAAGAGCCTCGCCTGCAGTTAATTGTGGTAGCCAGGTCTAGATCAGGCAGTTCAACACACTATGCCAGTTAACAGATGCTTCCAAACTTCTTTCTCACATACTGGGCAACGCCACACACTGTAACAGGTGAATCACCAGTCTAGGGATGGGTATTGGACGCTTTAAGTGTTTCACAATATTTTGCGATGCAAAAGGCTGTATTGCGTTATGAATTACAATATATTGTATAATTCTAAATTTTGAATTCAGAAGCACTCTGATACATTATGGTATTAATTGAAGTTCATAAATGGATCAAAACAAGCTGCTGGTACAAAATAATGTTTACTCAGTCAATAAATAGGCAGCCATCTTGGGATGTGTGGACCTCGCCACACAGGCCTTCATCGGTCGACCAAACAGACAACCAAATAAGGGACTTGGTTAAGTTACCAGAAGTCGCACAGAAGGACCGGACTTAATCGGTTCCCATCTCGGCTGACTCAACACATTCAGGGGTAACAACCCAAAAAGTATGCTTCAAGTACCGGTAATTCAGAGATGAGAAGTGCTAAGAACACCAGTAGGGAAACTTGTGTTGGCAGGCATTAACAAATGCAAAGACTTCATCTCTAAGTGACCTTTGTGACTGTACCAGATTCCTGAGAAGTGCAGTTCAGGAGTTGACAGTGACTTTAACTATGTTGTCTAGACAACAGTTGGGTTGCGATGCATCCAAGATAGTGTTTATTCTTTTTGGTCAGCGCAGACCGAGGTACTGAGGCCTTGATAGAAGAACAAACCCATGACCGTATCCCAGTCTTTGTGTTATAGACACAGAGATAGTTCAATATGAGAACTAAAGGAAATACATCACATATGCAATGACACTTTTGTAGGATTAACAGAAATAGCAACACTTTTAGAATGACCGCTTCCTGGCATATTTGTATAGCTGCGAAGCATCACAAGTCTATACATCAGCTAATGAAAACATTTATCATGCACTGCTGTGACCACACCCACAAATTTATATTTTTTAATCACATTGATTTCAGCACTTTCACTTGGACATTTAAATACTTGCTATATTTTCTCGCTCTGGAATTCATCAGGCAATCATTTAAGGCATTGCCACCTAGATACAGAATGTTGGGTAGGTAGGCCTAGGTGTTTTTTCATCTAGTCCATTAAATGATAACTGCTAGATAGATATACCAATTGCATTATCCTCCACATAGTTGGACGCATTATGTGCAAGGCTTTTACACATATAAAATAAGAGAAACAATATTAAAACTAGCAAAATACTGCAAGGACACAACTTGTCTTTGAATTGTGTAGGGAGGAAGACTGGTACTGGAGTATTCTGATTACTCAGACTTCATGACAAATCTGCAAACACGAGTCTTTCCAGTACAGATATAATTAAATGTAAGCGTGGAATCAGCTGTTGACCTAAATGTATATAGGTGTTGTATAGGTCTCAGAAAGTCTTGTGTCGAACCAACTAAACCGATTTGTCTCAGCTGTGTATTATGTATGTTACTGCTGAGACATGTCGCATGCATATCGAATCGAATCGGGTTGTATTTCCCGGAGATCGGAATACAATATCCTCAAATGACATGTGTCACATGTAGCCAGATTCAGATACGTTCTGCCGAAGATCATCAATATGATGCAACGTCACAAAATAAACGATAAATAAGAAATGAAAGTCTTCTCTGAGTAATATAATGATAATTACAAATGCACCCATAATTCGTGGTAGATGAATTACGTTCTCACCCTAAATATTGTCAACAACGTGTCCCTCCCTCCTCGCTCACTCCCAGTTCACGTTTCACACTCGACTGAGGGCAACCCCGGCTTGTGACGTCAGTGCACTTGCTAAAACAAGTGGTCAGCGTCCGCGAAAGAAATTAGTTTTGCATAAACTGGTTCTATTTTGTTTGTTGTGTGTTGACTGTTGACAAGATTCATTTTGATTAGTATTATGTATTTACTCTATTCCTTATAACGGAGTGTAACTCGCTATTGATCTCAGCTGCCAACTCGTGAATCTGGAATTACTACGCGAAAATAGTCCACCTAGCAAATGCCTTCTACACGTATGGACAAAAATAGCTCAAAATGGCGACTGAGGCTAATCGCTAATTACGTCTTGAATTCTAGAAAATTGAGTTCAGTGAGAATGTGAAAAGGCTAAAATGCCTACACCAGAATCAACAGTCACCTCTGTCTCGTCGATAGAGTCAGGTAGAAGTTTTTTCACTGCTATTTGAGCTCCGAAAACTCCAAGCGGGTCGACCAACCATTGACAAATTTTCCATATCTTTTCAGAATTGTATTTCCTCATCGCTCGATTCCTGTCTTCGGGGCCTTGTAAGAAGGCATCAGAAGTAAGTAAAATTCATATTTTTGATCGGATTTGACTTATATGACACCAGTAAATTATCTGATCTCTTTATATTTGTAGGTGCTGCTTGGGGAGCTGAAAGAACACAAGGTTAGTAATCGACAGTCCATGTGTATAACTTCGCTTTCGAGTTTCGCGCTTTTCTCCTGATATTTGCGAATTTGTAGATTAATTTCATCACATCTATGGTGCCAGATGATGAATTTGATGAATGGGGAATCGTTTCTTGTAAAAATGTCTACCACATGAAAAAAAATGCAAATTTCAATTTTGCAGCTTTTACCTAAAAGAATTGACTGGGAAGGCAGAGAACACTACAGAAGTTATTCCAACTTGGTAAGTCACGGAAAAACTTGCTATTGGGTTGAAATAGACCAAACTTTTAGCAAATTATTAAAATGTACCTTAACATGGCTAATTTGAGATCTTGGCATATTTGGGTAGCATTTTGTACGAACTACAAGGTATTGCAAACAAATCTGCGTGACAATTCGTAGTTTTATTGTATTTTGCAAAAGAAAACTCAGAATTTGCTATGCACTTATAATATCAAATGTCCTTAGCCATGGAGAATGATGTCAGGGACCTGGCACAAAGCCAACCAATGGGATCGCTCGCTTTTCAAAGCTGGGTCTATTATGCAAATATCAAGGCCATTACAGTTCTAGCGTGCTCTCATTGGCTGGATCAATGGTGAACTAGGTCATATTCTAAAAATAGTCCCCTGTTATTCTGTATCACATGGGTAATCACTTGTTCAAGCAAATCGGGCTTAAAAATTAAAAATACATGCTATATTGATTTATCAACAATTACTGCACTGGGTTTAAATTTTGCGAGGTAATGTTTTGCACGTCAGTATTGCTTCAGTGGTTGTTGTCTTCAATATATCATTAATTCAAAACACAATAATCCAGTTTTATACACTGAGATGCATGTATTGTTTTGTTAAACAAGATTATTATTTTGTTTTACTCTATTTTGACCATTAGCAGATTCATAATTTTTATCTATATTTTGAAATGAATTGATTTTTGCATATCTATTTGTTAATTTTGTGTTGTTTTGGAAAAGACAATTGTTCAAGGAATTATTTGAAATTATGAAAAGAAAGAAACACAATGAGAAATCTTCAGGGACAGGTTTTGCCAACATATTAAATGTAAAGGCTATATCATACATTGTATGTCCTTGTCATGCATAAGATTGGGTGCATACTAACCGGTTGACAACTGGTTGATTTCCTGGCATCTAAGGCATGTGATGTTTTTAATTGAATACCACTAGTATGCCTGGACCATAGTTACTAGTTCACAAGTACAATTGTGAGACTAGTAGCTTTCACCCCCAATATGTCAATGATCACCCTGAAATGGATTGTGGACTAATTGTCTTTCAGTTCCCCTGGAGGTTAATTTATATACCACCAAATTTTTCTTGATCTTAATTTCTAATTTTCTCGATTATTCTGGCTATTCATAACAACTTATAACCAGTGATCACACCACACACACACACGTTGAACACGTCAGTAGAACATGACTATGTATTATAAGGCTGGTACATGTAGTCTGAGGAAAAGAAGATGATATGCATAAGCTTCTTTTTAATTTTGGCCTTAAATTGAAGAAATCCAAATTCAAAGTAAATTAATTGACTTGATTTTACAGATTGATTTATTCCGTCACATATCATGTGGCCACCTCCTCAATATATGTGAAAGGCTTGGGCCATTGTTGGATAAAGAAGTTCCGCCAAGTATCACAGGAGTTCGCTCCCTTCTTGGTGCAGGGAGTCTGTCACTGCTTCGAACTGTAGAAAGTAAGTTTACGTCTTATCTCAATCAAACAAAATAATATATTGTAAGTCATAATATACTGAACAAGAAAAGTTTGGGATCATGATATTTTTGGAAATACCTCTTTGTAGTGAAGACTGAAAGTTTTTAAGTGTGTACTATATATATGCTTGGACCCTGTGGTACCGCGGCATTCATCGTATCGCGGCATTTGTGATTTCCAATAGTTCACGCGGGACACGCCTCCTAGCGGCTGTCTATAAATGCAAATCAGCAACCAGGAAGTGCTCACTTCGTAAACAATTTCAATTTCCTCGGAATGTTCCATCTGCTGTAAGTAAGGAGTTATTAATGCGTTGATACTTACTTCTGGCATCATTTTTAATATTGCCTTACCCCGTCTATCAATGGCCAACGATATAACCCGCAGTTCCCCAAGTAAACTTTCTCTATCGACCTGAACTAGATCATCTGCATATTCATGGCGACTTATAAGGTAACGGAAGTTACGTAGTCCGCACATTTTTCCCGCGCTGTGCCCAGAATCCATTGGGAGATCTTAAGGGCCATAATGCCAAACTAAAAAATCCTTTCTTCACTAGTAGCCAAAAGATAAATACATACTTTGGGCATACTAGGAGTGCTTTTTATATATTTATTGTTGCCTTTTAACATTTTTCCATTTTGTGACAAACTATTGTCGTCCAATTTTTTTTATAAACAATCTTAGAATATCATTTCTGATATTTTGTTGTTGACTTATGAAAATATTCTCTTACTTTTCAGTAAATATGCATTGAATACCTATTACTGATAACACACTAAGAATTTTACTTGTGCTGTCTTTGCACTTGTCTAGACAAATTGCTGATGTCCGGCATGATCATACCAAGTGGTTGGTAGATATATGTCCTCTTTTTGTCCAATTCGGACCTCCATACACCAGTTGTCTCTGTACCGCGATACGATGGAGTTCTCTCCCTTGTCAAACAGTGCGAGGCCCGGCTTTTACTCGGAGCTACTGATGTAAATAATGAACGTTTATCAGTAAAATATGCATTGTTTGATAAAATAAATGATATCTGATATAGAGAACACGAATAATCATAAAGGTTAGTGAGTGCATTTTGGTCCGTTTAGCGTACATGACAAGTACCGCGATACCCCGAGGTTGCAGGCTACATATATTTCATGGTCCCTAACTTTTTTTTGTTCATGATATAATTTTGCTTCATTGTGATGCATGGTTAATTGTTTACTTGATGAACCAAAAGTATGGTGTCAACCTTAAATCATGGAAATACATACTCTTCGCAGCTTGTGAAGATCCAGGGTAGAATAGGTCTTCAGCAACCCATGCTTGCCTTAAAAGGCCTCTGTGCTTGTCGTTAGAGTCAACTAACAGTATTGGGTTGTCAGACTCGCTGACTTCGTTGATGCATGTCATCGATCCCAGTTGCGTTGATCAATGCTCATGTTGTCAATCACTGGATTGTCTGGTCCAGACTCAATTACTTACAGACCGCCATCATATAGCTGGAATATTGCTGTGTGTGGCGTTAAACAACCAACAAACATATCCTTAGCTCCCTCAGTAAATTTGATTAACCTGCCAAAATCAGAGACACATGTAAGAATATTTGATAATTTGTTTTCTTCTATTCTCTAGATCAGCAGAATTTAGAAAAATATCACATACAATGATATAAAATAATTCATTTGTAAAGCATAAAATGTTTTGGTGCTTATTCTTATTGATGATTACTTTGTTTTCTCCTCAACTAGACTCTAGACAGACAAAATGGGCATGTTCTCAGCTGGCTGTTCTGCATCATGCAGAACCATTACTGCCCCCACGGAACATTGCACATTTCTCCCACTGTAAGTCCAGGTGTAACCTTCCGACAGATATCTAAATGAAGCAGAATTAGAATATTATATTTCTCTAATAATCACAGGAGGCACGGGTGGCCCAGTCGTCTAAGGCGCCGCGATTCGCTGTGCAGAGTTGCGTCCCTTGGGCACGCCAGAAACCTATGGTTGTGGGATCGAATCACGGTTCTCCCCGAATATGTTTTTAGGTTTGTCAGCACCGCACCTGTGCTCGTGGGTTTCACTGAACTGGTACACGTCTGAGACCTGCATCACTTCGGGCTTTCCTCCCACATTAAGCTGACACGCCGTGATATAACTTGAATACTGTTAAAAGAGGCGTTAAACCCAACTCACTCACTCTAATAATCACATTTTGTATGTAGCATCATAGGATTGAATCCCAGCTGTTGTGAAAGAAGTATTTTACCTTGGATTTGTTGAATAGTTAAGGTCACTTATTGTTGTTTTCCAATATGTAGTGGTACTTGTTTAGTGGCCACATAGCTTGTCTTGTGATGGTCGGGGTGGGGTGTTCTTGATGTTTTCTAATTAATCTAGGGATCCCCATATGTCTTTACTTGTTTATATGAAGGTTGTACATCACAACTTCTAAACAGGGTTAGAACTAATGTGAAAAGCTTTACTAGCCCGGGTAAAGTTAAAATGCCTTTGTAATGTTAAAACAATGGGGAAACTGGGACATTTGTACTAGCCCACAGGAATTTGTACTAGTCCAGGGCTGGTGAGCTAGTGTTAAATTCTCACCTTGACTTCACACTTTATTTCATCACTGAGTAATCTTGTGTTTTTGCAGGTTCTTTGCTGAAAGGCAGAGAGTTGACTGGTCGCAGTCGACGGGATTTGATATTCCAGTGCCATCAATACAGCCACGTGTCTCTCCATGACAGGAAGCTGGGTCACCTCTCGGCTGTGTATTGTGTGTCCTTCGACAGGACAGGCCAGTACATCTTCACAGTATGTGGAATAACATCATCATGGCACTGTTGAACTGGTAGAATGGTTTAAGTTGGATCTTTATTGTCATAGTAAATTGTCATTGGAAGAAATGTCGATTAAAGTTCACTTGATACTGTACTCTGCCTTTAGCTAATATCCCCTCAGTAATTTTCCCTGAACTATGCCAAGATAGGAAAACAGACATTTGAAATTAGGTCTGGCTGAAATTAGAATTACAAAATAGAATGCAGTGAGAACACTCCTCACATGATAGTGCGTGGATGCAGATCTGGAGTTCTAGGAAAGAGCTTCATTACTGTATATGAAACATTTGGTATGTTGCCTGTGACTTACTGCTGCTAGCTATGGAGTTCTAGGTAATCTTGTGAGCATGTGACATCACTCATGGTTGCACACCTCAGTGAGGAAGGATGGCTTGTTAAAGATATTGCTGTATGTGACATCACTCATGGTTGCACGCCTCAGTGAGGAAGGATGGCTTGTTAAAGATATTGCTGTATGTGACATCACTCATGGTTGCACGCCTCAGTGAGGAAGGATGGCTTGTTAAAGATATTGCTGTATGTGACATCACTCATGGTTGCACACCTCAGTGAGGAAGGATGGCTTGTTAAAGATATTGCTGTATGTGACATCACTCATGGTTGCACACCTCAGTGAGGAAGGATGGCTTGTTAAAGATATTGCTGTATGTGACATCACTCATGGTTGCACGCCTCAGTGAGGAAGGATGGCTTGTTAAAGATATTGCTGTATGTGACATCACTCATGGTTGCACGCCTCAGTGAGGAAGGATGGCTTGTTAAAGATATTGCTGTATGTGACATCACTCATGGTTGCACACCTCAGTGAGGAAGGACGGCTTGTTAAAGATATTGCTGTATGTGACATCACTCATGGTTGCACGCCTCAGTGAGGAAGGATGGCTTGTTAAAGATATTGCTGTATGTGACATCACTCATGGTTGCACGCCTCAGTGAGGAAGGACGGCTTGTTAAAGATATTGCTGTATGTGACATCACTCATGGTTGCACGCCTCAGTGAGGAAGGATGGCTTGTAAAGATATTGCTGTATGTGACATCACTCATGGTTGCACGCCTCAGTGAGGAAGGACGGCTTGTTAAAGATATTGCTGTATGTGACATCACTCATGGTTGCACGCCTCAGTGAGGAAGGATGGCTTGTAAAGATATTGCTGTATGTGACATCACTCATGGTTGCACGCCTCAGTGAGGAAGGATGGCTTGTTAAAGATATTGCTGTATGTGACATCACTCATGGTTGCACACCTCAGTGAGGAAGGATGGCTTGTTAAAGATATTGCTGTATGTGACATCACTCATGGTTGCACACCTCAGTGAGGAAGGATGGCTTGTTAAAGATATTGCTGTATGTGACATCACTCATGGTTGCACACCTCAGTGAGGAAGGATGGCTTGTTAAAGATATTGCTGTATGTGACATCACTCATGGTTGCACAGGGGCGGTCGGGTAGCCTAGTGGTTTAAGCGTTCGCTCGTCACGCCAAAGACCCGGGTTCAATTCCCGACATGGGCACATTGTGTGAAGCCCATTTCTGGTGTCCCCCGCCGTGATATTGCTGGAATATTGCTAAAAGCGGCGTAAAACCAAACTCACACACTCACTCACTCATGGTTGCACACCTCAGTGAGGAAGGATGGCTTGTAAAGATATTGCTGTATGTGACATCACTCATGGTTGCACGCCTCAGTGAGGAAGGACGGCTTGTTAAAGATATTGCTGTATGTGACAAACATATTGTGAGGTGTATTCTGTCAGAATATGCAATCATCACATATGAAAGGTCTAAGGAAATACTGCACCTGCTGTGCCAATTTGGGGATTTGTGTGCCATTAGGTGTTTGTTCTGCCTGAGGAAGATCTCTTCCCAATGCAAGTAGAAGAATGACTACGATGGATTTACAAGTTGTTGTGTTGTTATCATGTAAAAACTGGGCCCCAGCAAATTAGGATGATCGTAAGAGGTGACTATGGACAGGGTGACATTTGTTCATTGTGTTTCATCGTACCCTGATGGCGGGGGGTGTTGCTGATAATGTGAATCACTGGTTTGTCAGGTCCAGACTTTATTATTTACAGGCTGCTATCTTATGGCAAGAATGGTGCTGGGTGCGGCATTAAGCAACAAACATCATTGCAAGTGTTAGGGTATGTGACACTGCGTCTGTTGTTTGTGACAGCATTTATTTGTTGACTGCAGGGTGCTGATGACCATTTAGTGAAGATCTGGAGTGCTTCTGCTGGCCGTCTGCTTGCTACGTTTCGAGGTCACGCAGCAGAGATCACCGATCTGGCTGTCAACTTTGAGAACACATTGCTGGCGTGTGGCAGCTGTGATAAGTTTATTCGTGTGTGGTGTCTGCGAACCAAGGCCCCGGTCATTGTTCTACAAGGCCACACTGGCATGATCACATCTGTGCAGGTAACTATGGCAATAGATTTGGGAGATATTAACAACATAATGCAGATTGGTGGTTGACATGCACATTAAAAATATTCCCAAAGTTTAAAAGTTTAAAAAAAAAAAAAATTCCCATTGAAATACCTTTTCGACCCAAGTTCCCATTAGAATACAAACAAAATAAAATATCAATTGAAGAGTTATTGAGCAGGTTGAGATGCAGACTTGTGTGAGGTTAATACTCTGAACTCGGAACAAATACTTATTTCAGTTTTGTCCCCAAGCAAAGGGTGAAACCCGCTACCTTGCCACAACAGGAGCTGATGGCTGTGTTTGTTTCTGGCAGTGGAATGTGAACACCCTTAAGTTCAAGTAAGTTCTGTGATGTATTGTGTCTCCATGTTCTGTTGTTTAATTGGGAAATTACAAATCATCTATAAATTAGGGAGAGTTACTTAGTATTTGGAATATTTGGAGAAAATGAGGCTATTGATATGAAGAGTCAGTATTTATTATTGGTCACTTTATCATGAAAAGAGTGCAGCTCTCAAACTCTTTGTTTTGACATCAATAACATGTTTTTAATTTGTGTCCAAATAAAATTATGATGTAACAATTCAAAGGGGGATAATTCATGAAATTTGATCAATTACCTCCCTTTAGTGAAATTTGTAAATAATTATTGATAATACTGATCATGCTGATAGTGAATATTTCTCTTGCAAGATCAGCATTTCTAAAACACTTCTGATATTTCTGTGCCAACTTGTTTTTGCCAGCACCAAGCCGATCAAGTTTGTTGAGCGTTCTCGGGCAGGTGCACAGATGCTGTGTTCATCCTTCAGCCCCGGTGGCCTGTTCCTTGCCACAGGGAACTCAGATAATGTGATACGGGTCTACTTCTTTCATGCCACTACTCCAGAGAAGATATGTGAACTTGAAGCACATAAGGTAGTTATAGATTGCATCTTTATGTGAAGAGTTAAAATAGTTGTTGATATTGCTGGGTTTGTTGTAAAACGTTATGTGCACAGAATATTGTTTTTATCAGTTACGTGTTTAGAGCTGAAAGGCCATGGGAACTTATGTCCTCGCATGTTATCTGTCTTCATTGTCCAAAACTTTTCACATTTTCGACTTCTTTGAAATGGATGAGGTGAAATTTTGTGTGGTTGTTTGTGACTACAAGGGGGGGTCAAGTTTGTTCTCAAGTCATCAAAATTGGAATTTCAATATGGCCGCTAGGTAGACATCTTTGATTAGAAACAAGATTAAACAATCTCATCTTAAAATTCCTGATTGAAAACCAAAACAGGTACAGGGTTTTAAAACAAGATGGCCACCAACTTAAACACACCACCAGTCTTTGTTTTCGATCTGGAATCCTTGTTATCCCCTTGTTTAGCGATAGTGATCAATATGTCTGTCTGTCTGTCCTCCGTTCATTTTGTGTTTCCGGAGCAAAACTCCTAAACTGTTGAATATTTTTTGTTGAAACTTGTTATACAGATCAGTCTAGTGGTGAATTGGTGCCTATTGTTGATTTGGGATATTTAAAAATACTGAACAGCATTATTTTTTTCCCGCACTTATGAAGGTATCCAATGGTAATAAACCAGCTGTGGGGTATAAATAGCCAAACTCTATTTCCAATTTGCGCCATATTCTGATTTGGAATATGTCGTCACCTGATGACTTGTTCAAAGTTAACTTTCAATGAAATGAGGCATATGAAATTGGAGGTAAGTGATTGAGGAAGAGACTGGTACGATTTATAACCCAACCGCTAACTTTCCCTGTGGGTTGATCTCTGGCAGTGACATAGAAAAGCAGATATTAAGGGTGCACAGATGATGGGAGACGGTAACCACAGCTTTGTGGCTAATTACTTACTTGGTTTATATTTGTTAATACGTTAGTTCTCCATATTTAGGCAGAAATTGTTTGTATGGCAATGCTGACAGTATTATTCTTTAAGTGTCCGTCTTTGTTGACATTTTTAAACTGTTGACTACATATCCAGGTGAGCTACAGTGCACTATTTTTCATTCTACCTAGACATTGAAGAATGCTTGATTCTGACTGGCTAAATAAAGGTTTCCTTTTTGCTACGGAAACCCCTTTTAAATATATTAAGCCTTTTCACACAAAAAAACATACACATGAATACATCGATTGCCTATATCAATTTATAAAAAATGGCTGCTGATTGATCACCCATAGGAACTGTAAAACATATCGATATTTCTTCTATTACACGCCAGGTCTCGAATACATGCAAGGTCAACAGCTCTCACAAAATTAATAGACAGCCTGGCGTCTAATAGAGGAAATACGGTAGTTTGATATCAGATTTTTTGGTGACGATATGATGTTCTAGGCCATAACCCTGACTGCTTCAATGATGAGATTACAAGACTCTACAAAGGCAGAACTTTTGCTTACAAATGAAATGTTTCGGAACAGGCAATTTCGTCATTGCAACAACTGACAATAAAAGTAAAATATAACATTATAAAAAAGTGTTTGCAGAAACTTTATTCATGAAAACATGTTGTTGACAAACCTTTTTGTCATCGATAGTCATTGTCATCTCCGTCAACCACCACTGTAAAGATTTGGCATGCAGGGATTTGAAGGTCCATCACAAAACACTCGTCCCTCAAATTTCAAAACACAGTAGGTTTATCACCTAATTGTTTTACAGATACGACTAGCCACAGCGAAACAGAGAAAAACATAATGAAAATGGTGGTTCAGTAAACATATGAGTAGAGTCACAAAAATCTCCGGGAAGGAAACTGTTGACTTTTAAATAACAGTTGATAAAATGCATTGTAAATGTTCTCGGGAAACCTTATGCTGAGAAAAGCATTCTTTGACAGAAGCAAATCCATGTTCAAATTACTGTGAAAATATAAACTTTTTCCAAACTACTTAATGTCCAATAATATATCAAATACTGAGCTGCTCATATTTATTACTCCCCTGGGTGTGTGGGGGGAGAGATATAGTTATACCAAGGAATTCCATCCTGCCGTCCTTACTTCAGAGGACATTTGTTTGTGCAAGCTATGATTTGAACACTACTAAACTACTGGGTAGATTCTTTTCACATATCGTGAATGCATACCAATAGGAGAGTTTGATTTCAATATTTGGATTTTCAGTTTGACTTGGGACTTTTTTTACTTAAAACATTAAAACATTTGTGTGACTTACAACTTGAGAAGTACTTCATGGATTCTTTTCAAATTTAAGGAACACATCTATACTGATAGGACAGGTGAAATATGAAATATGATTTTTTTCCTATTTGGAACTTATATTTTTTAACTTCAACATTAATTGACTTATAACTTGAAAACTACTTCATGGATTCTTTTTCAATTGAGGGTACAGTTTCTTTACCAATAGTAGATGGGCAGTGCAAAGTTTGATTTCGATAAGTGGATTTTCTGAGAAAATATTGCTTTTTTTTATTTTCTTAACTTAGAAATATGTTGGGAGTCCAAATTAGGGGTATAGTGAGTACACCAGTGCATCACGATTTTTTACTTCTCGATACAAGTATCGACCACAGTATCATGCTAAGTAAAAAATGCCGATTCTACCTTAAATATTTGATTTAATAACTGTTACACCAAACTCTAACTTGTAGTGAATATGTCAATATTTTCATCCATTGTAGTTTACTTGATGCTTCCAAATCATCAGTGTGCCAGGTGTTTAGCCATCCTGTCTTTGAGAAAGATGGCTTATGCACCACAGATAAAAGCACATGCAAGTATTGTGAGCTAGGTATCGTGAAATGCATCGGATAGTACGGTTGGAGTATGGTCCCAGCTCTTCTGAACAAGCTATGTTTCATGTGTTTGTCCCCATCAGGACCGAGTGGATAGCATCACCTACAGTAACCAGGGCATGAGGTTTGTCAGTGGCAGCAAGGATGGCACTGCCAGGATCTGGCGCTATGAGAGGCAGGAGTGGAAAGCTCTAGTGCTTAACATGGCTACCAAGTTGCAAAGGTCAGTACAACAGAATGCATTTCTCTGATCAGTTCGATACATTACACCCTGTACTGTAAATCTGGAAAGTTTGGTGCCATTAAACTATTGTGAGCGGGTACCAACAGCCTTAACCTTAATTTAATACTAAACGTGAAAGTGCTTTTGCATATTTTATTGTTTATGAGTAGGGATCAGTGTGATGAAAGGGTAACTAAGTGAGGGGGATTGATGTAGCGTGTTTACTAACAATAGTGTGTATAGTAATGGCTGGCGTATGTCTGGACTGCTCAGTGCTATGTGAGGAAATTGATGGGGTGTGGCAGGTTAGTGAATGTTCCTGATGAGAAGATTGAAGCTGAGTGACGATGGATGACATGGAAACAGGATCTGAGGGATTACTTATTTAATCAAGTTCTGCCTTGATTGACAATGTGGGCAAGTGAATAAACGAAATATGGTCCCTATGTTATTTGTTTGTGCAAAAATAACTGCATCCTAAAATAATTGTGGGTGTGGGTGCAGCTCGTATTGTCGCAGTACTTTCCTGCTCACAAAACATTCAAGATTTGCAGTATTTGTATTGTCTAGGTTGGAATGAAGGGGGGGTTGTCTTGCAGCATTTTACTAGACACAGTTGTATGTAGGTGTGCCAAGATCCAATCATTGTGGGTTTTGAGTCCCAGATTCTCCATGAATGTGATCATTTCTTTAGCACACCTACACATTGAAAGGATGTCACCTGCATCACCTCTGGCTTACCTCCTACAGTCAGCTGACATGCTGTGATAAACGCATTTACTGTTCAAAGCAGCATTAACTCAGTCATTCTTTTCATCTTATAATAACTCTGTCCTGAAGATGAAGCAGAAATGTTTGGAAACTCTGTGGAAGGTGATCAGGTGGTCAGTTATTGGTGACTTGGTTGATAGCGTGTCATCTAACCCCCGTGTGAATCATTGCTCAAGATAGGGGGCACAGGTGGCCCAATTGTCCCAGGCACCATAACATGCTGTGCAGAGTTGCGTCCCTTGGACATGCCAGACACCTATGATCGTGAGTTCGAATCCCGGTTAGCCCCAATTATGTTTCTAGGTTTGTCAGCACCATACCTGTGCTTGTGGCTTTCCTCCCACATTAAGCTGACATGCTGGGTATGACTGGAATACTGTTCAGAGTGGCGTAAAACCAAAGTCACTCACTCATTGGTCATGATACCAAATCGCTGGATGTCAGGATGTCGGGTATGGATTGACGCTCATAATACAATCACTGGATTATCAGATCCAGACTCAATTATTTACAAGCAGCCATCATATAGTTTGAATAATGCTGAGTGCAATTTAACAACAAATGAAAAATATACTGGCTAAGATGATTTGTATATAATGGCCTTCATCTCTCCATGTTGTTGCTCCATCAGTAAATCTGCCCCTGCCCATGTTGACGCACCTCCCACTGATGACAGTAAGAAGGATAAGTACCAAGTGACCATGGTGGCGTGGGTGATGGATGATGAACATGTTGTCACAGCTGTCAGCGATTATTCTCTTAAAGTGTGGAACTCCCATACAGGCAGACTTGTACATGTATTAGAGGTGAGTGATCTCTTTCAGTAATACCAAGTGGTAGTGCTGGACGATTGATTGAAAATTGGTCAATCGATCAATCTGGAAAGTCAAAATGATCGATCTCCCAAAGGGAGGACGTAGATCTGGGAGTTGAGGGCACTGGTTCCAGGAGTAGTGTTTCTCTGCCCAATACACCACTTTGACCCTTCCTTCACCTAGACTAGTGGTAGGATGGGTCCGGTCCTATCATTCGGCTGGTCATGCCGAGCCCTGTGCATTAATAATTGTATTTGCAGAAATTGTATTTCAGAATTCTCTTTTTACTTGATGTTTGGCCCTGATTATTTCACCTGATGTCACAGTTGAATTTCAAATATATGTGTTTCAAGTATGTAATTTGCCTGGAGTCATATTCCCAGAAGGCGGTGGTCATGGGCCACTCTGGTGGAACAATTACTGTTTTAATTATTCTGCTTGAGTATATCACCAGTGTATCCTTGGTGCTGCGAGGCGGAGATCCACTTGTTATTAGTAGTGTCTTTATTATACTCCAGTGTGGTTGGGGAGTTTGGATGATGAAACAATGTAAACTGAATATGGATTACAAAACCCCTCCAAAAAAAGTGAACATCCACTTGATGATGAACAGCGACCGTCCAAATCCATTGATAGCTGGCCACGTTTCATAGTGATTGAGACCTTAGTATTCCGTCTGATTTAGTAAATCCTACATATGTAAACTCTTTTGTCAAATCCACTGTGCGAGGTGGTAGTGGTTAATCAATCAACGTATTACCGGTTGATTCTTTGATCGATGCTTTTTGCAACTCAGATGACTATACCTGTCTTGCTGTACTGCCACATGCATATTCCCACTTCACCTAACTGTCCACTTTTTGAATGGTAATTGATCAAATGGAAATTGTTCCTCTCTGTCTCTGTCAGAGTCACCAAGATGAAGTGTTCGTGCTGGAGCCGAGTCCTGTCGACGCCCGAATCCTCCTCAGTGCGGGCCATGATGGCAACATTGTCATCTGGAACTTGCAGACAGGGACTAAGATCAAAACATTCTTTAACATGGTAAGAATTCCATCACCCCAGAAAATGGAAAATATCAGGGGTGCAGAAGTACAATGCCTGATTTGACAGACCTATTATGTTGGGCTCTTTGGCAAGTTGATCTTGGCAATTTAGTTTTTCCGCTGACAAGTCATCTGTGACCCCAAATTAGTAACATTCAGTTCAGGACAAGTAGATGTTGAAACTTATGTTGCCTGAGGCTAAGTAAACATTTTGTTATACGTTGTGTTAAAGGTGTATGGTGTGTATGTCATGTCCATTGGAGGCAGTACAGGATCATGTTCCTCCTTCTGTTGACAGATAGAAGGTCAAGGCCATGGGGCTGTGTTTGACTGTAAGTTTGCTCCAGACGGTCTGAGTTTTGCAGCTGTAGACTCCCATGGACATCTACTGTTGTTTGGATTTGGATCAAATGAGAAGTTTCAGAAGGTAAGCAGTTCCAATCAAATGATGCATGTGCACAAACACATCTGTGTTCTGTATCGGGTTGAATGATACTTGCTTGAAAAAAACATGTTATGTTTGTGTGACTTATATATGATGATGTTGGTGTGAATTCTGGGATTTGTTTGTTTGTTTGTTTGTTTGTTTAACGCCACACTCTGAAATATTCCAGTTATGTTCTGTAAATAATCGAGTCTGGGCCAGACGTTCCAGTGAGCATTGACATCATGAGCATCGATCCACGCAACTGGGATACAATGACATGCATGAACTAAGTCAGTGAGCCTGACCACCCAATCCCGTTAGTTGCCTCTAACATGGGTTTTTGAAGACCTATCCTAACCTGTATCATGAATACTAGGACATAAGCCATAATGGGATCAATCACAAAACTATTGCCGTGTTGCAGTAATATTTGTCATTGATGGGAAATCTGCCAACGATGTTAGATCTTGAGTTCTTTTTTCCCATGCTTATTGTGGATCTGAGTCCTGCTTACATCCACAGTCTATGTTCAGTCGTTGCCAGCAGTGACCTTGTATGCATTTTGTTTCCCTCTTCAGGTACCGAAAGAAGTATTTTTCCACACAGATTACCGCCCACTGATCCGTGATGCCAATAACTATGTGCTTGACGAACAAACGCAACAGGCCCCCCACCTGATGCCACCTCCCTTCCTCGTGGACATCGATGGCAACCCCTACCGCCCCATCACCCAGCGCCTTGTCCCTGGCAGAGAGAACTGTAAGGATGACATGCTGATCCCTGAGGTGGCTGTCAATGAGGAGGGTGAGTTAAGGCAGACAGGAGCTTGCACCACAATGGGGGCTGCACACAGTAGCTGATGAGATAGCTCCATCCCTGATTATCCGGTGTATTGTATGTTCATTCTGTTAAGATACATACCCTGGACCCATTCACTAAAATAGCTTCATTTTGAGTTCTGCTGTGGTGGATAGTCCAATCAAATGCCTTAGAAGGAGTCTCCTTGACCCGAGATCTGACTCATCTCTTTGTGGATACATCTCGGACTAACTTCCCGAGGCAAGGGACTTTACTTATGATAAGAGTCCAGTTTCCACCCTTGCCAAACTAGGCTTGAATTATGTTATATTTTGGCTGGACTGTGCTGATTTCTGTCAATTGCAGGATTTGCAAAGCATGTGTACTGTCAATTAAGTGTCAACAGATATTTACCGTATATCGCTGTGTATAAGGCGACCCCACGTATAAGACGACACCCCTGTACACGGCTTAAAAATCAACCCAAAATCCTATACTCCGTGTATAAGGCTACCGGGAATGAAACACATCACAAGTCTGACTGATATGGAAGATTTAACGTGCGCTTTCCGACTGTAGCGTATTTCGCACACGGACATCACAAGTTAGTTAGTTACTTTGGAGATTTAACGTGCGCTTTCCGACTGATGCGTATTTCGCACACATCACAAGTGCGCACACAAACCTTATATATGCAATAAAAATATGTTAATCTTACGTTGTTTTTTTTCTACAACGATAGGTCGCGTGTGTAACTCCAGCACACGTCGCTATTTTGTGTTTACACGGTACGACACCAAATTGGTGCCCGTAAAATAAAATTCATTTATGAAGTAATAACATATAAGAGACACTGGTGAGTAATTTAATCGCCAATTAACTATGTTGTAACTAACTAGGCGTATGTTTGCTTCACATTCAGCGTGTTTATTCCACAATCACTTGTACACACCGTCTCCAACACTTGTTAATACAACTGTTAAAACAGCGGGAATTGATTTCAGCTTCACCGGTTATCACATGTTAGGTCACATGTGCAATATGCAAATGCCTACCAGTACTTCCGGCTCTCTACTCGCGGATGTTGATTGTTTTACCGTGTCAGGTGGTTTGACAATCTGCATCGAGGCGAGGGTCATTTCAACTTTATTTGCAGAAATTATTAAACTTTATTCAAGGAAAAGAGATACAAATCATGTTTATGTATGGAAATAGTTATTGGAACAGTTATTTAGGACGAAATGCGAAGTTTTATTGTCAAATGCTGGGCTGGCTATCGGACGCCGGTTGACATCGCCAGTGGAAAAAAATGTGAGATCTTTGATTCCGTGTATAAGACGACTCCCCTTCTTAGCCCCCTTATTTTAGGTACGAAAAACTCGACTTATACACAGCGATATACAGTAGTCAACAGACTAAATTGTTACAGATTGTGTGTTAAAGCAGTAATATTGCTGAGTGCAGTGTTGAACAAACAAATGAACAAAGAAAAAGACACGCTGTGATGTGGTGAGACGCTGTTGATGAGATGGCTGGACATGAGACTCCTCACCAGTATTCTAGTGGATTACCTCATGGCAGTATATGCTGTCATTACAACCTGTGCTCCTTGTCAGTTTATATATGTGCTACTACTGACTTCAGGATCCTCCGAGGTTATTGGTGATGGTGAGCCACTAGGTGGCCCCCTGGCTGAGCCTGCTGTGATAGAACGGGTCCGCCCTAGCCTCGACGCTATGATACAGAGGCTTCAGCTGGAGCAGGATCATCGGATTGCCCTGGAGGGAGGGGAACCGCTGGCCTCACCCCCACCTGTAGGCTCACCCCCTCCCTTTGTGTCCCCAAGATCAACCAGGAACAATCAGGGTGAGTCACACTGACATGGACCAGTACAGTCCTCAGACCAGCACTACTTGCTTGTCACATGTTAGAGAGGGTCAGATAGACTTCAGGTCGGGTTGAAATGTCATGATGTTTATGTTATGTGTGTGTCACCACAGGTCACGTTGGAATGACATGATGTTGATGTTGATGTTGATGTTAACTGTGTGACTACAGGTCGGGTTGGAATGCTGTGATGTTGATGTTATCTGTGTGACAACAGGTCGGGTTGGAATGCTGTGATGTTGATGTTATGTGTGTGTGACTACAGGTCGGTTTGGAATGCTGTGATGTTGATGTTATCTGTGTGACTACAGGTCGGGTTGGAATGCTGTGATGTTGATGTTATGTGTGTGTGACCACAGGTCAGGTTGGAATGCTGTGATGTTGATGTTATCTGTGTGACTACAGGTCGGGTTGGAATGCTGTGATGTTGATGTTATGTGTGTGTGACTACAGGTCGGGTTAAAATGCTGTGATGTTGATGTTATCTGTGTGACTACAGGTCGAGTTGGAATGCGTCGCAGTGGGGAGACGGAGGGAGTAAGGCAGTCACTCGGCAATGTCACGCTCAGGGCCACAAAGAGTGACATTGCAGCCCTGAAGAGAAGAGTTGTCGTAAAACCGCTAGATCCAGAAGTAATGTGGTAAGCACTTAACTATCTTGAAACTTTGCAAACTTACCCTAACATTTAATCAAGTCTATTACATTAAGTAATACGTTACCACTGTTATAACGAGGCTGTTGTCTCCCACAACTGCTGCTATAGCGAAATCTACCACAGAGATCTCAATTACCTCATGCAGCACGTGCGTAGCCACCTAGCTGCCATGTGACACCCTTCACTCTTGTCTCTTCGCTTGCTCTAGCAAGACGTACAATAAACTGCTCAATCGTTCCTGTTTCTCCGACCATTCGGTGATATTTATTACTGTTTATTCTCTCTAATAAACTGTGCTTTTACGGGGCGTTTGCTGTAACTACGCTTGGAAATATTTTTCCCGCCAAAAGGAAATATTTTTCCCGCCCTTTTTTTCTATATACTTGCGGGGTGTCTCATATGCACGTTGCGTTTTACGTTCCCCTGTTCTAGTATATCTTGGGGTTTTTACATCACTTATTCCTCTATATGTTATATGTGTATGTTCTATATTCCCATTGCTCGTTTATTTTCTTGTGAAAATACTCGTTTGTGACTATTTGTGGTGCGTGTGTTGTAACCATGTTTTGCTCTTTGTTCATAGTACAAACAAAATGTCTGACATGGATGTTTCGCCGTCCTCCACCCCCTCTACCCCGCAACCAGGAGCTGCAGGGTGTGCCGCAAGCGAGCGCTACCGGCTGTATGTGCAGTCCGTTTCCACCCCTGTGGTGGCCGGCTCGTCCGGTCGGGGTCCCCTTGCGGGTACCACCACCACGGCTTTGGCGGCCCGTGGGCTGTCCGGGGATTCCGTCGCTGCATTACTTGCATAACTTGTGGACTCCAAGCTGGCGGCCTTATCTCAGGATAGGCCGCTGGCTGTTCCGTCCCCGGTCGCGGGGTCCACCGGTACGGCGGCGGCTCCCGTGGTCACCGATCCTTCCCCCGAACCATTGCTCCCGCTATCGGTTAAGGACCGCGTGGCCATGGTTTATGACCTCTTTGAGGACAAGCCCCGGCCGGTACCGCAGGGAATCCACGACTGTGGGTTCCTCCGAGGTATACGATGAGTCTTCTGACACGGCTTTCCCCGCATCAACCTTGCTGCGCGGTATCAAGCCTTCCTTGGAGAACGCCTTCGCGGCGGCCTCCGGTCGGGGTCTCCCGTTGCCTCCGACGTCGTAGAGAAAGGGTTCTTTCCTGGTACATGACCTTGCCTTTCCCGAGGCTGGTCCTACCGCGGAGGCCCATGTTGAGCGGTTGGGTGTCCGTGCCCCACCGGCTGCTACGGTAACGCAAGCTACCTTGCACCAGCTGGACGCCCTCGCTCGGCACTCCATGTCTCACGGAGACACTTACTTGGCTGCAGCGGCCAGACTGGTCGAAGGTTCTCCCACGGACCGTGACCAGCGCATTTACAACTGCCTGCTCAGTTTAAATGCTTCCCTGGAGTACGTTGCCGAGGACTCTTGGCACACACTTGCTCTTGTTGGGTCCCTGCGTAGGCGCCTGGGTGCCGCTCCTGACCGGAGCGCGCCCCAGGCTGCTGCGGCCGGTAGGTCTAAGGGGTCGGGTTCTTCTTCCTCTGGGAAGTAGCCCCGCCCTGAGGGCTCCGGTATGGGCAATCAGCTGCCCTTTTGCGGGAAGACGGGGAACTGGGGGAAGCCCAAGTCGTCTAAGGACGGCAAGGGCCCCTCCAGGTGACTCTCATTGGAGGGGTTCGTATGTCGACAGCGCCAACTTCGGTTGGCCCTTAGGCGAACCCGAGTCACTTGGCCCTGGACAGTTGCGCCTGCCGCAGCCTGTCAGGGCCCCCTCTCCTTCCCCAGTGGGAGCCAGACTCCAGACTTACTGGGAGAATTGGGAACAAGTGTTCGATGACCCGTGGGTGGTCAACACGATTCAGTACGGCTATCGGCTTGATCTCAAAGCGAATCCGCCGCTCACCGTTGCCCCGTTGGCAGGTTTCGATTCGGAAACCGATCTTCCCATCCTCACCAATGCCATCGGCAGGTTGGTGGAGAAGGGGCAGTACGGAGTTAGCTCTACCAGAAATAACACCGGGGTTTTACTCCAGGATATTTCTCGTTCCCAAGTAGGACAGTGCCGAACTGATTCACACGTCCGCTCCCTGGCTGTTCACCCGGTTAACCACCCCCATAGTGGGGTTCCTCCACAGGAGGGGTGTCCGGTACTTCGCGTACCTGGACGACCTGCTAGTAGCAAATCGAATGACGGACACCCTGTCACGCCATCTCATTTTCGCACGTCGGCTCTTGGAGCAATTGGGGTGGATTATCAATCTCCCCAAGAGCGAGTTAACCCCTTCTCAGAACTTGCTGTACATCGGAGGTCGGTTCAACACGGTGTCCCATCGCCTCTTTGTCCCCCCAGACTGGTGGCACAAAATTCAGGCGATGATTGCCAAAGTCTTAGCGGTGCAACAGACTGTTCACTTTTGGGAACAGCTGTTAGGGCTACTTGTATCAGCCCAGGACTGCACCGAACGGGGTCGTCTCCAACTCCGCCCGCTGCAACGGTTTTTAATCCAGTTGTTAGCAACGTAGGTGAACAGTGCGACCGTCGCCCTCCCGGATCGGCTCCGACCTCATCTGGAGTGGTGGACGGTGCCTTACAATGTCTTATCAGGAGTCTCTATGCGGCCCTACCGGGCCACGTTGAACCTGTATACAGACGCCTCTCTAGTGGGCTGGGGCGCCCATCTAGAGGGGGAGGGGAGCTCGGGGCTGTGGTGCGTAGACGAACTAGGTCTTCACATCAATTGTCTCGAGTTCAAGGCAGTGATCAACGCAGTCAATCACTGGAAGCATCGTCTCGTCGACGCCCAGCTCATGCTGGCGACCGACAACACGACGGTAGTGTCCTATGTGAACAAACTGGGGGGAACCCACAGGCACTCGCTACTCGATCTCACGTTCGAGTTTTACGCTCTGGTGGACAGTGTCCCGTGCCAGATACGCGCCCGTCACATCCCAGGTGTGCGGAACGTACTGGCCGATGCTCTATCGAGGCCTCAGGATCCGAGCCCCACAGAGTGGATGCTGAACCCAGTAGTGTTTCAGTGGCTGTGCGAACGTTTGGGTCGTCCGATGGTCGACCTGTTCGCAACGCGGTTCAACAATCAACTCCCGTTGTTTGTATCACCAGTCCCGGACCCGAGGGCCATCGATCACGATGCTCTCGCGTTAGACTGGACGGGCTTGGACGCTTATGCTTACCCGCCGACAGTGTTGATACCACACATTCTAAGCCGGCTCCGAGGAGTTCGCTGTCGAATGTTACTGATCGCGCGCATGTGGCCGAAAAGATACTGGTACCCCGACTTGCTGACCCAGGTCACGCAGTCGCCACTTCCACTGCCTGTGAGACCGGATCTCTTGATCCACCCTCACACCCGTCAGCTTCATCCAAACGCAGGGCAGTTCAATCTGCACGCGTGGATGTTGTCACTGAGCGTCTGAGGAGTAAAGGTTTTTCTCCCCGTGCGTCTCGGGCATACGTTAGTATGCATCGTGATTCTACCCAGAAGGTGTATAATGCACATTGGGTTATTTTCACGAAGTGGTGTTGTAAACATCACATTCATTCGCCAGATAAGGTATCTGTGCAGGATATTGCTCGTTTCATGTCTCACTTGCGAGAGACCGAAACTCTCCGGGGGTTCCATTGCCAACTATGTCTCGTCCGTTGCTACGGTACGGGACGTTGCTATGGGTACCAGTCTCTCCAAAGAGCCGGTGATACGGGGTATTATCAAGGGTTTTAAACAGCACGATCTTAAGAAGGGCCGCCTTCGGGCACCGGCCTGGGATCTTTCCCTAGTGTTGCAATCACTTACGGAAGCTCCGTATGAACCCTTGCATAGTGCTTCGTTCCGGCATGTGACTTGGAAAACAGCATTTCTCCTCTCCTTTGCCACGGCGGCACGTGTATCCAAAATTCATGCACTCGATGTCGCCAAGGTACAATTTGATAGGGGTGACGAAGGAGCGGTCCGCCTCGGCCTGCTCATGGGCTTCGTCGCCAAGAATCAGAGAGTCGGGCAAACAGAGAGAAAATTCACTGTAAGATCACTCAAAGAAATCTTACATCCTGCTGATACTGAGGACAGATCGCTGTGTCCGGTTAGGGCCCTTAAGTATTATCTTAAGGCTTCGAATGAACGTAGACAAGGGCTTGACCGTCTGTTCATATCGTGTAACCCTAATCGCACGGTTGACATACCTCGCAACTCGATTGCGTTGTGGCTTCGTTCTGTCATCAATCTGGCGTACCGGTCTCGGGGGTTACCGGTAGCGGGGTCAAACCCGCACGAGATCAGGGCGCTAGCGGCAACATTTGCCCTACACTCGAATATTTCTGTTCGCAAAATATTACGAGGTTGTTACTGGCGTTCTGACTCGGTTTTTGCCAATCATTACCTCAAACAGGTCGCTGATGCCGTCGTGGAGAGTGTGCACCGTCTTGGGCCGCGGATCGCGGCGCAAGCGGGCACCTAAGGGGTGTGCCCAGCGCAATTCCGAACTCCTCAGGCGTCAGACCTTGCACGGTGGTCAATCTGGGTCGACTCCAATGTTCCCACTGCCGTGGGTACAAGAGTTGGGGTCCCGCAAACCAGCGCACTCACACCACAGGTGAGGGCGGCTTTTTGTGTGCTTTGTCCTTATTTGTATTTTGACAATTATGTCTTTAATTGTCTGTCGTGTATCCCAACCTTGTGATGCATGCTTACAAATACTGGAATTAGGTCACGCGCCTAATGCATACTCAAAGTAGGCTTGCTCTGGGATATACGGTCTGAATGAAATTAATTTCCCTCTTTTCGACTGTTTAACCTGATCTAAGATTAAGCTCACGCGGATACAGTGTTCTCATCCGCTGCGGCGATGAAATACCTATCCAGTGGGGCCGTTTGGCGTCACCAATCGTTTTGGCAATGACGATTGAGCCTTACGGTATGCGCTTGACAGTGCTTTGTTATTCCTATAGGGTAACGCCTAGCTAGGTGCATGCGCATCGAGTGCTTCCGCCTTGGTGTTTACTTCCGCTGTTCGGAAGGAACGCTAGCAGTCAGGATTCGGGTTGTAGTGCTCCCCACCTCCTACTGTGGTAGTCAGCCTCGGTATAACAGTGGTAACGTATTACTTAATGTAATTTGTAGTATTTTCCTATTCGGAATATTCTATAAGTAATACGTTACCACTGGGCTGCTGCCCGCCCGTCCGTCCCCCGAGCACTTGCTCTCGCAAGAGACAAGAGTGAAGGGTGTCACATGGCAGCTAGGTGGCTACGCACGTGCTGCATGAGGTAATTGAGATCTCTGTGGTAGATTTCGCTGTAGCAGCAGTTGTGGGAGACAACAGCCTCGGTATAACAGTGGTAACGTATTACTTATAGAATATTCCGAATAGGAAAATTCTACAAAATCTTAATAATTTTATTACATACCCTGTTTCCTTGAGGGTGTTGCTGCGTGTTCAGGCTAGTGTGTGTTGTTTCAAGGCACATATGAAATGTGTTGTTGTTGTCTGCAGGCGACATGAGGAGAAGAGATTGGCATTTGCTGATGAAGAATTTAAGAAATTTGTCTTCGAGAGGAAAAAAAAGCCCAATTCTCCACACAGTGTAAGTAGTGAACAATCTTCGAAACCATCCAGTCTACTCCTCTTCAACTGTGAGGGGGAGGTGGGGTAGTATTGAGTTTAAAGCGTTTGATCATCATGCTGAAGACCCGTGTAGGTGTCGTTTCCAGAGAACAAGCTGAAAACTGTGAAAGACTTTTCATCCAAAATGGTACATGTCTTCATCAAGGGCTGAAGTGGTGCCTTTGGCTAAATTTTATTTTTCCCTTTTTCCAAGGCAACAAGTTTGACATTGACTCATAGTGGTGTGTTTGTGCAGACCATATCTCTAAAACTAATAGGTACTCCAATTGAAACTGTGCACACACAAAAAACAGGTCAACTAATGCCTTTTGCTATTTTTTGTGTTTAGAATATATATTTTTTCTGTTTCCTTGGCAACAAGTTTGATTGTGGTGGTGTGGAGTGTACCAGGCATAGAAATACAAGTTCAGAATCCCAATTCCAAGGTATTGTTTTAATAGCTCAATAACGACTCTAGTATGTGGACAGAAGATTAGATAGAAATAGAAGTTTGACTTAAAGTAATGGTCAGATGATTTGTTTTTTCGAATTTGTGGGGGCCGTAGGGATTTGTCATCTTCTGATGACCCCTTTAAAGTTAGATGTTGGCTGTTTTTTACAGGCTCACTCTGCTGCATCAAAAGATAAACGTAAGCAGGCACAAGCTGCAGGGGCCAACACTGCTGAGAATGAGGAGACCGCCAGGAACAGACTGTTCACCCGAGCACTGTATGACACTGAAGAGGAGGAGGTGAGATGGTGCTCCTCAGGAAAACTTATCTTTCTGCATATTTTTCAGTAAATTTGTTACATATGGGTTTTTGTCATGCTGAAGGCTGGGTTTGAATCACATGGGTACAATATGTGAGGCCCATTTCTGGTTTCCCCTGTTGTAATATTGCTAGAAAATTGTTAAAAGCAGTGCAGGATAGGGGATAAATACTTGGCTCCAAATTGTAACCACCTCGAAGCAGAGATCTCGCTGTTATATTAATAGTTAAATAAGCTGTCAATATCTGCATGCATCCATCGAAAGAAGTTTGTGTTCAGATCGCCATGGCAATGTTTCAGGATGAGGAAGGCAACAGCTCAGGATCTGACTTCATGCATGAAAGGTAGGAGGAATATATATCACTAAGCTTCATTCTTCAGTTGGTTTGCAAGTTTCCTATGAGCCAGAGGGAAATATAACCCAAAGATGTTGATTACTGTCATGCTGACATGCTTTGTGCTGATGTGGATGTCACTGGAAGTGAGATGAGTTATCTTCCCTGCAGCTTTTGGGTCACGTGTGTTTTGTAAAACGTTTATGTCAAGTGTTTACATTTGTCTATAACTTAATTGGTTTCTGTATGTGCCTTTCTGGGAACAGATATCACGTGCAGTATACAGTGTGTTGCGTGCAGCGCGCGGATGGCGGTCTCTGTCTGGGCAGTTGCTCCCTTCCCCCCTCTCCACCTGAAACACCTGAAACAAGGTCACAGCTGAAGCTTGCACTGCTCTGCAGTTTGGCTGTTGCCTAGTAAGGGGATGCAGGAGAACAGGCATGCTCTTTGAGTTCGGATAGTGGATGAGGCATTACTAATCTGGGTCCCGTTCCACAAAGCGATCTTAGGGCTAGGTTGATTGTAACTCACAAAGTACGCGATCTTAAATTTTTGTTACGATCGGCCGCCCGTTCCTCAAGGCATTCTTAACTAAGTGAGTTGTAAGTTGAGATCAAAATGCTAAGTTGCTCCAGACCAACTTAGGATCGCTAAAATCGATCTTAAATATTGTACCATAACATCAAAGATGGCGACTTTTATTATGATGTGCAAGGAAATGGACCGTGTCTTACACAAAGAAAGGGGTTTTAGAGACAGCCCCCGGCAGCTGGATACGTTATCTGACGATGAACTGTATGCGTGATATCGTATGCCACGCCACGCCCTCTTGAAACTTCTAGAAGCTGTCTCTCTGTCCATAACACCAGCAACCCAGCGTTCACATTCCGTGTCTCCAGAGACGAAGTTACTCATGACTTTGAGATATTTAAGCAAGGGTGTTGTTTTCTTTGAGTTTCGACCTTCACTGGACTGTGAAGTCCAGTGTGTCATGGGTGTTTCACCCGACTGTATAGACGCCATTTGCAACTCTATCAATAATATCCGTTTTGATCTTGTAAAATTTACGTAGTGTGAAGCACAATTTTTATCGACTTGTCGGATTCCCCCGTGTCATCGGAGCCATAGACGGGCACTTGTTACAATCGCCCTAAGATTGCTTTGTGGAACAGGCATTAACTTTAGCTAAGACGATTTTAAAATCAACGTAAGTCTCTAAGATTGATTGTAGTTACGATCGCTTTGTGGATCGGGACCCTGATGATACAACCTTTTTGGGAATATCGTCAGAAACGTGAGATAAGGTATATACATGTAAACCAGCCAGTTGAAGCTGAAGGTGAGAGTTAACGTGTTGTGAAGAGCTCCAAATAAAGCAGTGTGGACCCTCAGACACACTTCTCATTGCCGAAGTATCCAGTAGAGCACAAACAGCTGAGATGTGTAGTGAGTGTGTCTAGGTGATGAAAGGAGCTGTAAGAGTGATGTTGGTTGCTTTCAGTGACTCTGATGAGTATTCTGATTGGATGGGGGATACAGGAAGTAATCTGCAGCCTCCAAAACGTATGTCACAGCGGCAGAGAAAACGCAAACGCTTCACATCCACAGAAGATGATCAAGATGATGATGATGATGATAATGAGGAGGAGGACAATGATAAAGAAAATGACCAGGACAGTGGCAGTAATGTGGAGAGGAAGGCAAAGAAAGCAAAACCTCCACCAAAGAAAAAGAAAAAGAAAGTGGTCAAGGTGAGTTCCTGTCAGACACTTGTGGAGAGATGTCCCCAGCACCATATGTTGGTCATGGGAACCAATGATGATGGAATGGTCACAGTTTGTGACCTGGCGTGATTATGTGATGACGTGCAGGATGCTGCTCATGCAATCAGCCACTGGTTTGTCTGGCTAAAACTTGATTATTCACAGGTGACCATGATATTGATGAACTCTTGCTGACTAATTACATTAAGTAATATGTTACCACTGTTATACCGAGGCCGTTGTCTCCCACAACTGCTCTTATAGCGAAATCTACCACAGAGATCTCAATTACCTCATGCAGCACGTGCGTAGCCACCTGAGCTGCCATGTGACGCCCTTCACTCTTGTCTCTTCGCTTGCCTCAGCAAGACGTACAAAGACTGCTCTGAAGCGTTCCTGTTTCTCAATCCTTTGGTGATATTTATTACTGTTTATTACTTGCATATAAACTGTATCTATTTGGGGCGTTTGCTTTAACTACGCTTGGAAATATTTTTCCCGCCAAAAGGAAAAATTTTCCCCACCCTTTTCTCTATATACTTACGGGGTGTTTCGTGTTAAGATTCAGCTCACACGGGTGCTGTGTTCTCATCCGTTGCGGCGATGAATACCTATCCAGTGAGGCCGTTTGGAGTCACCAATCGTTTGGCAAAGACGATTGAGCCTTACGGTATGCGCTTGACAGTCCTTTGGTATTCCTATAGGGTAACGCCAAGCTAGGAGCATGCACATCGAGTGCTTCCGCCTTGTTTACTTCTGCTGGTCAGAAAAGGAACAACAAGCAGTCAGGTTTGGGTTGTAGCGCTCCCCACCGCCTACTGTGGTAATCAGCCTTGGTATAACAGTGGTAATGTATTACTAAATGTAATTTGTAGAATTTTCCTATTCAGAATATTCTATAAGTAATACGTTACCACTTGGCTGATGCCCGCCCGTCCGTCCCCCGAGCACTTGCATTGCAAGAGACAAGAGTGAAGGGTGTCAGATACAGTTATTCCAATCATTTCATCAAAATTCTTTGTAGTTATATTATTAAGTAATTGTTAACCGAATCACTGGTATATTGGGAGAAATGTCTTCACTATACACAAGAAAATAAGAAGTTAAAAATACACATCAATTAACTGTATATGAACTGTTTCATCTGTTTCAAGCACCAGCAGCCCAAGATGCCATCAGGTGTAACAGAACTGTCTGAAGCATTCCGACCACCGGAATGGCTGACTGATACCATTCCACGCAAGGCGCCATTTGTTCCTCAGATGGGCGATGAGGTCATGTACTTCCGCCAAGGTCATGAACTCTACCTGAATGCAGTGGTCAAGCATAAAGTGTATGAAGTGAACCCCAACAACAACCAGCCATGGCACAAGAATCCAAAACTCAGGGTATGTTCTGCTGACAGCAACACCTCCATTAACACCCCACTCAACACCCCACTAAACACCCCACTCGACCCCCCCACTCAACACCTCACTCAACACCCCACTGGACCCCCCACTCAACACCTCACTCGACACCCCACTCTACACCCCACTCAACACCTCACTCGACATCCCACTCGACACCCCACTCGACACCTCACTCGACACCCCACTCAACACCCCACTGGACCGCCCCCGTGGTCTTGTGGTAGAGCGTCCGCCTGGTGAGCGGAAGGTCTGGGGTTCGATCCCTGGCGTCGATCCCAATGATGATGGAATGGTCACAGTTTGTGACCTGGCGTGATTATGTGATGACGTGCAGGATGCTGCTCATGCAATCAGCCACTGGTTTGTCTGGCTAAAACTTGATTATTCACAGGTGACCATGATATTGATGAACTCTTGCTGACTAACTACATTAAGTAATATGTCACCACTGTTATACCGAGGCCGTTGTCTCCCACAACTGCTCTTATAGCGACATCCCACTCGACACCCCACTCGACACCTCACTCGACACCCCACTCAACACCCCACTGGACCGCCTCCGTGGTCTTGTGGTAGAGCGTCCGCCTGGTGAGCGGAAGGTCTGGGGTTCAATCCCTGGCTGCGTCATACAAAAAGACGTTAAAAGATTGTACTTGTTGTTACCCTGCCTGGCGCTCGGCATTAAGGGCCTAAAACAAGGACTGGTCTGCTCGGAGTCAGTATACTGTGTGTGAGTGGGGTATTCATGTTAAACTGCATCATGGTATCTCAGTGAGCTAGCACTATCAATCGGCATCAGTCTGGACTAGAACAAGCCGCACGCACGCACGCACGCACGCACGCACGCACGCACACACCACACTCAACACCACACTCAACACCACACTTGACACCTCACTCAACACCTCACTCGACACACCACTCGACACCACACTTGACACCACACTCAACACCTCGCGTAAAATGGTTTGTGTTGTGTCTATGTTGAAAGGTAGATCACTAATCATGTTAATGTTTCCCTCTTTCAACCTCATTTCAACCTCATGGTAGTAGAGTCAAGTATAATAGATATTAGTGTAACTGGTTGTAAGTTGAATTTAGTATGGATTCCAGTGATATTTAAGGACGTCTCTCATGTGAAAACACCAAGGTAAATCAGCCTTCAATACGTCTCCTGTGAAAACAAGGTGAATAAGTCCGTATCGAGGACAAAATGTGGCCTTCATCAAGTACCAGGGACATGCTCATGGATATTAGTGTTGACAAATAGTGAACGTTTGAATGAGATTTGATGATCTCCTCCAGGAACAAGAGTTGGTTAAAATTGTTGGCATCAAGTATGAAATCCGGCCACCGAGACTGTGCTGTCTCAAGCTTGCCTTCATTGACCATGAGAGTGGGAAGCTGACCGGGGGAACATTCTCCATCAAGTAAGTACAACTTACATTTTGTTCAGCCCTGTTCCCTTAGTTCTAGTAAAGACTTAGTGAGGAGATAAAGAGAATTTACCTAAAATACTTGACAAGATGAATGAATAGCCATCTCATTGATGAGCGAGTCAACTTTAATTTATGCAGTTGCCCTAGCCTGGACCAAATAGTTTGGTGCTTAATAGCACTAACTATGGCCAGTCTGCCTTGTTACACATTGTGATTATTCGTCACTGCTTTAGTCGACATACAAGCCATTGGATGAATAATGTAGACTACCAATGAGGAACCAAGCAGTTCGCTTTTGAGAAGTGAAGTTATGCACAAGTCACATATGAATGATGACAAGAATGCCCTACTGCCAGCATGGCCTGAATGGGATAGAGGAACTGATATTGAGAGGATTTCCATGGGATTTGGCCTTTAACCCTGACTTTACGGTCCATCCTTCAGGTACCACGACATGCCTGATGTCATCGACTTCCTGGTGCTCAAGCAGACCTACAACATTGCCATGAAGAGAAAATGGAAACCGAGTAAGTCTTCATCACATCATTCAAATGTCACATGTATTTCTGCTCCATGAAACAGGCCAGTTTAACATGGGATCCTATCTTGTTTGTGAAACTTTCCCTGGAACTTCTGTTCAACACAACCTCCTCACAATTTTACTATTAAACCTAACAATAATTTGTAACTGTGTCACATACTTCTGGTTTCACAACTTGTACTTGAAGGGTGACTGCAGGTTGATTGTGTAGTGCAGGTTTTCAATGTCTGATATTACGCATGTGTGTAGATGACCGGTTCCGGGCCATGATAGACGACCACTGGTGGATGGGCACAGTCCAGTCACAGGAACCCTTCCAGGCCGAGTTCACAGACAGCATGTACCAGTGCTTCAATGTCCAGTAAGTACAATGTGACACAGCCAGCTTGTAATGACAAGGATGGATACCAGGCTTTGAGTGTGCATTTGCACACATGGGAGCCAAAGCTGTGAAGCGTGTGAACAAGTGCACTTGATTCTTGTTTCTTTTATTGTTTTCACATTTACGGTTGCTTTTTTTGTTCACATGAAAATGTTGAGTGCAGGATGAAGTGGTTTAAAGTCCAATATATTGACTAGAGGAAACTGGAACTTTAAATTTGAAAAATCCATAGGTCCGATGTCCCGAACCAGTGCATTTATATATGGGACCAAACAATTTATTACCGTATATATCGCTGTGTATAAGGCGAGTTTTTCGTACTTAAAATGAGGGTGTTAAGAAGGGGGGTCGTCTTATACACGGAGGATCTCACATTTTTTTCCACTGGCGATGTCAACAGGCGTCCGATAGCCAGCGCAACATTTGACAATAAAGCCAGAAGCTGGAATGTAAACATTAAACTTGTTTCCGTCCGGTTGCACACGCACCTTCCTATGACATGTCACAAATCTCTCAGCGCGCCTCTGAGACTGGTCGCTCGAGAAAGACTTTCGCGGTAGCCTGCTAGTTTGTATTCTACTAGTACTTATCGCTTGTCTGCAGTTGTTGTTCTTATAAAGTATTAATGTCTTACCTGTAGACTCCTGGAATGTAATCCTTGGTAATCCATTGTTTGTGTTCAACATGTGTTTCACTGTTTGACTTGATTATACACGTGGCAACATGTCGGGCATTTGTGCCTCGTGTCAAAGAAAACTGTCTGAAGTAGATCCTCACAAGTATTGTCCTTCCTGCATCAATAAGGACGGGTTTTCTACGTGTTCGTGGGATAAACGTTGTAAAGAATGTGAGCACTTGTCTTCTATAAACTTTAACTTGTATCTTCGTGTGTTGGCAAAGCGGGCTGCTGACCAGCGCTACAAGCAGAGAAGGTCATTGGGTGGATCCTTGGACTCTGCACCCTCCACATCCGGCCCTGGGGGTGGCGAGTCTGACACACCCAAGAAATCAGTTGATAAAGACCCGCCTCAATCAACTTCTGTTTTCGACAAGACATGTGACTGTTCGCCTGCTGATTATACTACCCGCACGACTGATCTTCGTCAATCGGTTGATCGAGAGTGTCACTCAGCCACCCCCGTTACGACGGGACCGGGTGGTGACGAGGACCATGAGGGGACTACGGTCCCCAGTCGTTCCGTTTCTTGTTCTACCAACGACAATAGGGACGTTGTGCAGGACGACAGTTAACACAGATCCCTCTCTAGAAGTCGTTCCATTCCCGGGACGACAGGTCGAGTGCCTCGTCGAGAGACAGTAAACGACACGAGGACGTTCATCACCTTCGTGGTCGTCGGGAGTACGATTCGGACGATAACTACGATGGGGATCGTAGTACTTCTACAGTTAGAGATCGTAGCCCTCGTCCCCACGAGGACCTGCGACGTTCTCGCAGGGAGTTTCTGGGAGATCAGCATCGTAGAGATAATGACAGAACGACACCCTCATCTCACTTTCATATCGACCCGGCTTTAATAGCCCAGATCATGGCGGCGGTACTCGCCTCGACCGGGTCGACCAAGAAGGATTCGATTACGTCGGGGGTCCATGGACCGTCAACCAGTACACCAGTTCCTTCATCTATGCCTCCACAATCGACGTCGACGATGGATTGTGACGACAGCCCTCCTAGGCCTCCCAAAGACATTGAGTTGTTTGCTTGGCTATCTAACTTTCTGCCTGAGTTATCACAAGACGATGACAAACAAACGCGTGCTGGCTTTAAGGTCGGAGATACACCGCAATCTCTTCAGTTTTCTCCTCCTGATGAGTTCAGAGCCATGGCTCAAGATATGGACCAGAACTTTGCCTCTGCTCTGCCTGGGCAGAGTTTCTGCAAGCCGCCTAGGCGATCTCGTTACCCGATTTATGGCATGCCATTTTCGTCACCCATGAGAAGGGACTTGGATTGGGGGCTACTCTTCAAGAAACCAGCGCCCTCCAAGATTCTAGTAGAAGACAGGCATTTGGAATCCATGGACACTGCTGTTCGTCACCAGCTACAACCGCTTGCTATGCTGTCGACAGCGATCGAGGCCCTCTAAGTGTACTTTGAGGAGAAAGAACCCCAGGACGAGGACGAAAGGACGGTTCCATCGGTCCTCACCTGTATGCAATGGTGGATCTTGGACGTCCTCGCCCAGTCCCGATATGTATCGGGCCAGATTACTACGGCACATCGCCATGGTTACATCGACTGCACTGAACTACCTGATCGTCATGGCAGGTCACTCTTACGGGCCCCGTGGTCATCGCAACAGTTGTTTGACGGTCGTACCAACGAAGTTCTGGACAAGTACTCCAGGGAAGCCGAGCGTGACATCATCATTTTGGCTTCACACAACCTGTCCAGACGGCCATCGGTTTCGAAAGCCCCACGACGACGTTACAGAAACGAGAATGTGCAACGGGCCTTTCGTAGGGACATGCCTTGACAGCCGTCCCGCAAGAGAGATTCAGACAGGAAAAGTCACCAGGTCTCTTTTTCCAAGTATCCCAGAGGGGGAAAGAGCCAGCGGGGGAAGAAGTGAGGACCCTTCCACCGCCGTCACCGTCGTTGGAGTCTCCCCCGGTAACACTCCCTTTCGACAAGCTACCGGTAGGGGGGAGACTTCATCACTATGCCCACAGGTGGGCTTTCCTCAACGACCCTTACGTTCAGAACATTTTGACAACAGGCTACGCCCCACGCCTGAGATCGACGCCACCACTGACGTCATCCCCGACATTCCACACTCCACCAACGGATCGGCTGACTGAGGCCATCGATTCGTTGGTGGAAAAGGCGGCAGTACTTCGCCTAGGGACATCGGCACCATCGCCGGGGTTCTACTCGCCCATCTTTCTAGTACCCAAGAAAAACTCCACAAAGATGCGGCTTATTTTCAATCTCAAAAAGTTCAATGCAACATACCACCAACAACCCAACACATTCACCATGATATCCCTCAGCTCTCTGTGTCGGATGATATTACCGAACAACTTTCTCATCTCGATAGACCTTCAGGACTTGTATCTCCATGTACCAATAGCTTCCGAGTTCCAGAAGTACCTCCAATTCGTCTACCAAGGTATTCATTACCAGTGGGCGGCACTCCCGTTTGGAATTTCTGCGGCCCCTTGCATTTTCACACGGATCATGAAGACGGTCGTAGAATGTCTCCATCGGCAGGCGATCAGGGTTGCCTTCTACCTAGATGACGAGCTCCAAGCTTACCAGTTCACAGTAGCCCTTCAAGAAGAGTTAGCGACCACCCTGAGTCTACTACGGTACCTCGGGTGGATCGTCAACCTGCAAAAGTCAGACTTGGTACCAACTCGGGATCTACAGTACATCGGGATACGCTTCCAGACGGGGGTCAATCTGGCCAAGGTACCTCAAGACCATTGGGACAAGATTGTGAGCAGCGTTCCGAGACTTCTACTTGCCCCGGCATCGGTGCACACGTGGCAGGAAGTCCTCGGTCTGTTGACATTGGCCCAAGACCTGACTCGCCGAGGTCGTCTTCAACTTCGTCCGCTGCAGAGATTGCTGTACCCCCACCTGGAGTTTCCCAACCTCCTGGTTCCACTTTCGGCGCAGCTACATTGTCATCTGGAGTGGTGACTCCAGCTGTCGAACGTTTGCGAAGGCGTCTTTATGAGCGAGCCTCCGTTCAAACTACACCTATTCGTAGGCGCATCATTGGAAGGCTGGGGAGCGCACTTCGGGGACTACCAAGCGGCCGGGCTGTGGTCGCCAGAAGAAAAGGTCCTCCACATCAACTGCCTCGAGATGGAAGCATGGAGATTCGGGTGGTCGAGTTCTGGACACTTCGACTCCGTCGGAAACGGCTGATGATACAGTCGGACAACTCCACAGTCGTCCACTGCATCAACAAACAGGGAACGACTCGGTCGGCGGCCCTGCCGGACCAGACATTCAGGTTCTTCGCCCTCGTCGACGATTTGGACATGGGTGTAAGAGCCCGTCACATCCCAGGGGCCAAGAATGTGATAGCAGACGCCCTGTTGAGACCATCAAGGCCGTCTCCCACGGTGATCCATCCGAAAGTCTTTCATTTGCTGACAGATCGACTCTGGTTGCCCCAAGTAGATCTCTTCGCAACCCGGCACAACAACCGCCTCCCTCGATTCGTGTTGCCGGTTCCAGACCCACAGGCATGGGACAACAATGCTCTAGCGATATCGTGGGAGGATCTAGCCGCTTACGCGTTTCCGGCAACGGTGCTGTTACCAACGATACTGGAGAAAGGAGAAAGGAGAAACGGCCAACCTACGTCTGCTTTTGGTCACGCCTTATTGGCCGGCCAGAATGTGGTTCCTGGAACTTCTTCAGATCATCGATCAGCAACCGTTCCCGTTGCCAGATCGAGACGACCTCCTTCTTCATCCTCACACCGACGACTTGCATCCGGGGGTAAAGAACTTCCAGCTTCACGCCTGGGTTTGCTTAAGACCTCGTTAATGAAGAAAGGATATTCGGCTAAAGCGGCAGCGCTTGTCTCGTCGACACATCGAGTTACGACTCGTAAGCTGTATGATGACAAGAGGACCACTTTCTCCATTTTCGCCAGGTCTCGTGGCTTCAACCGGCGGTAGCAACCCCCTCACAGGTGGCGGAGTTCCTAGTCTATCTCCGGTCATCTCGCTTTGGCTTCAGTGGTGCCGTCTCCTACGGGCAACAAGCTCACTAAAGTACCGGAGTTTCAGAAGATTCTACGTGCCTTCATGGTTGAAGATCAGTCACGTAAATTCCGACCACCGGCCTGGGACCTCGATGTCGTTCTGCGCAACCTGTCTAGTCAGACTTACGAGCCTCTAGATCAGGTCACGTCCGACTTATTGTCTCAGAAAACAGCTTTCCTTCTCTCGCTGGCTACGGCAGCTAGAGTATCGGAAATACATGCCATTGACGTCGGTCGGATTATGTTCGATCAGCGTAACCATGGCAACGTCCGTCTTGGTCTCAGATGGGATTTTTTAGCGAAAAATCAATTTCCTAGCCAAGATTCGAGAATGTTCCTCATTCCTTCCTTGTCCGCCATTATGGGCCCTCATGATCACGCTGATCTCACACTGTGCCCAGTTCGTGCGCTTCGTATTTACCTGCAGCGATCTGAACAGCAACGACAAGATTTTCGACAGCTGTTCATGCCGCTCTCAACCAATGCAAAGAAAGAGATTACACGTAATACTCTCTCCTTTTGGTTGAGAGCGGTAATTCTCAGAGCTTACGAGGCCCAAGGATTTGCACCTCCCACCTCCTCTCATCCGCACGAAGTTCGAGCCATAGCTTCAACATTAGCACTCCACAGTAATTGTTCGCTGCAAGCTATTATGGAGGGCTGCTTTTGGAGATCTACTTCAGTGTTTGCTTCGCATTATCTCAGAGATATCTCAACAGAAGATGTTGAAGGACTCAAACAGTTTGGTCCACTCATGGTGGCACAACAGATCTCCCAGAAAAGACAGGGAATTTGTGCTTTATTCACTTGCTCGACACTTCGTGCCATATAAAATGTTACAATAAAAGCTGTTGGTGAATGTACGCATTCTTATGGTTTTTTGTTGCGTGCAGTACTTCAGCTTTTTTATTATGGTTATTCGGTGTATGCATCGTCTTCCCATACTTTATAGTACTGCTCGTATTTTTTAGTTACCTTGTATACTGCGAGTTGCTCTGTAACTAAATTATGCGCCGACCACACTTTGATCGCAGTTCAACTGACGAGTGCAGTTGTCCTGTCGCATCGATAATAAGTTGTGTGTCGAAGAGCATTAACCATGCTATTTTTAATTACCTTGTATACTGCGAGTTGTTCTGTAACTAAATTATACGCTGACCACACTTCGATCGCAATTCAACTGACGTGTGCAGTTGTCCTGTCACATCGATAGTTACTTGTGGGTCGAAGAGCATTTACCATGCTGTTTTAGTTACCTTGTATACTGCGAGTTGCTCTGTAACTAAACTATACGTTGACCACAATTCAATCGCAGTTCAACTGACGCGTGCAGTTGTCCTGTCGCATCGATAATTAGTTGTGTGTCGAAGAGCATTAACCATGCTGTGAGTTTGTGATAAACAACTTGTCTCGTCCGTGCATCTGGTCGAATGTTCTATTGCCACTACAAGGGTGAGGAACTTGGTACATTCAAAGTGAAAGAGGTCACTTCCTGATTACTTTCCCGACCCTCCTTTCAGTGTTCTGTCGAATTCTACCCATTTGTACAACTGAAAACAGACTAAAACATGGGTTTTTCAGATTAAAAACGATGTTTTATTGGTCTGAATTCAGTCATACCAGCCATCCCCACAGGGAAGTAATCCAGTCCAGTCCTGAATGATGGCTTATTCTTCGAGATTTGTGACATGTCATAGGGAGGTGCGTGCGCAACCGGACGGAAACAAGTTTAATGTTTACATTCCAGCTTCTGGCTTCCTTTTAAACGTGCAACTAGAAGTGAGGGTATGAGAGATACCCATTTGTACGACTGAAAACAGACCAATAAAACATCGTTTTTATTCTGAAAAACACATTTTTATTGCATATATAAGGTTTGTGTGCGCACTTGTGATGTGCTTCATTCCAGGTCGCCTTATACACGGAGTATAGGATTTGGGGTTGATTTTGAAGGCGTGTACAGGGGGGTCGTCTTATACGTGGGGTCACCTTATACACAGCGATATACGGTAATGCATAAGTCTGATGGACCAGGCGATTTCATTCACCGATGTTACAGAAGTCAGGATTTGGCCAATTTTTTTACTTATCCTGCATTACTCCTTAATGCATCTACTGCTTACCGTAAAATTATTACGAATGATCAGTAGAAATGTGGTTGGAAGTGATGTCACTCTGGACAATCATGTGACAGCTGTTCGAGTGGTCCTCAGACAGGAATAGACTTGATTGGAAACAACCTTCCTTCTTCCGTTTAGGACCATCGCAAGGTCTGTCTCTGTCAAAAGGTTAGCAGCAGATGCATTAAGTAGTAATGCAGGATAAGTATACAAATGTAAAAAATATTTATTTTTTCCTAATACTTTGATTACCATTATTTATTTTCACATAAATAAAGTACAGGAAGTTAACACATCAATTAGCCAACATTGATATGAAAAGCTGTTTTGTTTTTGTACAGTTACCAAAATTGGCCAATGAAAATGGGCAAATTTATTATTTGCATACTGAAAGATTTGATGTCTTTCTAGGTCACAGTATTCTAGACATAAGTATTTTGACAAAATTTTGACAGGACAGAAATGAGTTGGGACCAGACAAATTACATTTCAGACCTTGTTATTTTATTTCTTTGGTAAGAGGGCTTCTGAAAGAAGACTAAGACTTGAATCAAAAGCCAACTCGCCCTCGTGGCATCAGTAGCAATGCCCAAGCCTTTCCCGTTCCATGTTTTGATGCATGTTATCTTTACAGTGTTCCACTTCCATTTTTTGGTTCCAAACCCCCACCCCCATGAGCATATTGAATGTTAGTCCCAATGGCTTATTGAGAAAGATACATGGAACTTGAAAGTTGATCCTGCTAGGCCGCTTCATTTGCATATTTATCAGACCATGAAGCCAAGTTCAAATGGATCAAATGGATATCATGAGCCAGTGTATGATAAAATGTTTTTTTTATCAGTACATGATCAGGCTATATGATGGTCTTCATATGATAACCTTATCAGTTTATGAAACTGATTTGTGAGGATTATATTAACACCATCTGTAACACATAGTGAATGTAGTCATGTCTGACAGTGTTGAGTCCATGCTGTGCTGCACAGGAACATGTGACTGTCCTCTGGCAGTTGATTGTAGTCAAAGCATTAGTCCGATACAAGACAATGAAGGGTACACCTGAAGACTTTCCAACCTTGTGTTCACAGCTGGGACAATGGGGAACATGAGAAGCTAAGTCCATGGGATCTGGAGCTGATTGATGAAGAAAGTAAGTTGTAACAAAAACATCAATTAGTACCAGACACATTGCCAGTGTCATTTGTCTTTCCAGGCCTAGCAGTTTTATCCCCCAAATATTTTATTACCTGTCTTTGATTTGAAATTCAGAATTGTTTTAAAAAACTGCTTTTGAATTATTAATTTTCTTGATTATATCAAAATTTACTACTGAGGGAAAGTTGTCGTGTTGTGGTACGCTTTATATAAAAGTCTCTCCCCAGTATTCCCAGGTAGAATGCATTGTACATGTTAAGAAAATGTTATTTCCTGAAATTATTCCTGTTGTGTGTGCAGGTGTACCAGGGGACGTTGGCGGGGGAGTGATGGTTGAGAAGGAGGAGTTGAAGATGTTGCTGTACAACCCAGGGCAGAGTGAATGGCCGCCGTGTGGCCGTGACGAGGAGTGTGACAGGATCGTTCATGGGCTGGAGGAGGTCATGCAGCACTCCATGGCTGAGCCCTTCAATGCACCAGTGGACCTGAATGCCTTTCCACTGTATGCCCATGTGATCGAATACCCTGTTGACCTGAGCACCATCAAGGCCAGACTGGAGAACAGGTTCTACAGGTGAGTCACAGAGTCCAGTACAGGCAGGATTACTAGAACAGGTGTATCACAGAGTCCAGTACAGGCAGGATTAGTAGAACAGGTGTATCACAGAGTCCAGTACAGGCAGGATTACTAGAACAGGTGAGTCACAGAGTCAAGTACAGGCAGGATTAGTAGAACAGGTGTATCACAGAGTCCAGTTCAGGCAGGATTACTAGAACAGGTGTATCACAGAGTCCAGTACAGGCAGGATTACTGGAACAGGTGTATCACAGAGTCCAGTACAGGCAGGATTACTAGAACAGGTGTATCACAGAGTCAAGTACAGGCAGGATTACTAGAACAGGTGAGTCACAGAGTCAAGTACAGGCAGGATTACTAGAACAGGTGAGTCACAGAGTCAAGTACAGGCAGGATTACTAGAACAGGTGTATCACAGAGTCCAGTACAGGCAGGATTACTAGAACAGGTGAGTCACAGAGTCCAGTACAGGCAGGATTACTAGAACAGGTGAGTCACAGAGTCCAGTACAGGCATGATTACTAGAACAGGTGATGGCACAGTACAGTACAGAATCCATCTGATGCTCAAGATACTACGCCATTTGTCAACCCCTTCGGCAGTGGCAAGTACTCTTGGGTCAACTAACATCAGCCCTACGTGCGGGTTACATCAGACGTCAGGACATTTGCCTATCTTTTGCTCTACCTCCTCACCTCAGGAGTCATCTCAGCTGATGGACGGAAGAGTCGAACATCTTAAAAGGTGTCTCTTTAACAGAGTTATCCCCAATGTCCCACTTGTTCGTAGACGCATATCTACAGGGTTGTGGTGCGCATCTGGAAGACCAGATGACCTCAGAGATGTGGGCCGGCACACAGCACACTTGGCACATCAACAACATGGAGTTGGAGGCACTCATTCTGGCAATATCACACTGGAAGGAGCACCTTCGGTACACTCAACTCGCCATCTCCACCAACAACTCATTCTGGCAATATCACACTGGAAGGAGCACCTCCGGTATGCTCAAATCGCCATCTCCACCAAGAACTCATTCTGGCAATATCACACTGGAAGGAGCACCTTCGGTACACTCAACTCGCCATCTCCACCAACAACTCATTCTGGCAATATCACACTGGAAGGAGCACCTCCACCAATAACATCACGGTGGTTTGGTGCCTGTGCAGTCAGGGGAAGACCCACTCTCACTCCCTCCTTAAAGCACATTCCAGTTCTTCCATCTGGTAGATCGGCTGGGCCTATGCCTTCTGGTCAAGCTAATTTGGAACAATATGGCAGACGCTCTATCCAGGCCAGACAGGGCAGCTCCCATGGAATGGAAGCTTCATCTCAAGGTGTTTCATCTCGTATGTCTGTGTCTAGGTCATCCAAATGTAGTGGCCATAAAATTTCCGAGTCCCGTGATGGGATTCGAACCACGGACCTTCTGATCAGAGGTCAGGCGCCTTGTCCACATGACCAAAGAGGTTAACCTCGTCAGCAAGCTGACAAGGTAAGGATGTCATCTGTGGGATGACTCCACGCCCTGCTACACAAACATCAACCTCTTCGCCACTTGGCAGAACTACAAGATCTCAACTTTACTTCTACCCGATCCCAGACCTGCAGGCTTTGGCAGTAGATGAAATCATTATCACTTGCTAATGAGGGATGAAGAGCGTACGCTTATACTCCACAAGTATTTCTTCCCAGGGTGATGCAGAAGATCATGGCAACCAAGAGCCTCAATCTGAAAATCAGAAGGCCAAGTTTCACCCTCGTACATGGGATTTGAATGTCATACTTAGAATGAGGGTAAGACCTTGTCTCTCAAATTTTCATTTCTGGACCAAGACTTGTGTAGCCAAGGTCACCTGACATGGAGTAAGTCATAAATATGAACAACAGTAATTAATCAGTGACAGTTGCACAACTCATTCAGGATGGCAGAGGGTCAATGTACAATACAGTGGGGATTAACAGTTGGTAATAGCATCTTATATATAATGGCAGTTCAGTGATTCAAGGCATATTGATGTCATGACTGCAGGGTAATTAGCCTTTGGAATTAAATGTTCATTCAGACGATGGCTGTCCCAAAATTGGTTGCTCTGACACTCCATCCCACCTTCATCATCGATCATAGGAACCGAAGGCAAGCATAACTCTTGTTATGCCCTTTGTACACATTACAAGTTTACATCCGTCGCTCCAAGACTTTGCGTGGTGCTCGTGAATGTCTATTTATTCCTGTCTCACAGGCCTCCACGAGTAAAGTCAGCTGCAACACGTTATCAGTATGGTTGTGCGCTCTCATCCTTCAGGCTTATGAAACTGCCAACTTGGATCCACTGAGAGCTAACAATCCTCACGAGATCTGGGCTGTTGCCTCTATGATGGTTCCACACAATAATTGCTCTATTAGAGCCATCATGGAAGGATGTTTTTGGAGGTCCAACACTGTCTTCGCAAACCACTACCCCAGGAACTTGGTCTTTGAAGATGTCGCCATTAAAATGCTCCTGTCAAGAGCTAGCCTTACCAGACTGCAGCACTGTTCGCTCACCCATCAGGGGAATTATTCTGCAATTATTCGTAAACCGTCCATAGACAGGATTAGTCGAAGTAGTGACAGATCTGCGCAACTGATGTCCTCAATGACTGCCGTGAATTAGTGCAGAGTTTCTGTCACTGAGGACCACATCTGATGGTATACCCTCCTCCATACCGAGTAATGCAGGATAAGTAAAACATTAAGTAAAATCTAAATATTTTTTACATTTGTATACTTATCCTGCATTACTATGTCTAAGGGCCCACCCGTCGCAGACTTGCCTCTCCACGATTTCTTCAGATGTTTAAAATATTGACGTCCGTGACAAGCAGTAATATGGTGTTTACATGACGTCAACACATCAGAGTCAAGTGGCCGCAACTTTTAGGCCCTGCATCACACTTCAAGTGGAACAACTTCTTCTCAGCTGGTATCCTGCCCCGCTGTTGTCTGTAAGCAGTAGATGCATTGAGGTGTAATGCAGGATAAGTATGCATATGTAAAGAAATATTAAGAGTTTACTATATTTAATAACTAAAGGGATAAAACTGGGAATGAGTAGAAGTAATCATGGTGTTTATATAAAATATGTTTTGAGAACGTTTGACCACCAGTATTGTTTTGTCCAGGAGAGTGAATGCTGTCCAGTTTGATGTCAGGCATATTGAGTCGAATACTGCAAGGTTCAATGAGCCAGGAAGTGCCATTGTACAGAAGGCAGGAATCATCACCGAGACAATGCTTAGCTTCATCAGGTAAGTGGAAGCCTGCAGTGTAGTGTAGTTATGTTATATCACTGCAGTAGTGGTGTAGTTAATGTTATATCACTGCAGTAGTGGTGTAGTTAATGTTATATCGCTGCAGTAGTGGTGTAGTTTGTTATATCGCTGCAGTAGTGGATTAGTTTTTTATATTGCTGGAGTAGTGGTGTAGTTAATGTTATATCACTGCAGTAGTGGTGTAGTTTGTTATATTGCTGCAGTAGTGGTGTAGTTTGTTATATCGCTGCAGTAGTGGTGTAGTTTGTTATATTGCTGCAGTAGTGGTGTAGTTTGTTATATTGCTGCAGTAGTGGTGTAGTTAATGTTATATTGCTGCAGTAGTGGTGTAGTTTGTTATATTGCTGCAGTAGTGGTGTAGTTTGTTATATTGCTGCAGTAGTGGTGTAGTTTGTTATATTGCTGCAGTAGTGGTGTAGTTTGTTATATCACTGCAGTAGTGGTGTAGTTTGTTATATTGCTGCAGTAGTGGTGTAGTTTGTTATATCGTTGCAGTAGTGGTGTAGTTGATGTTATATCGCTGCAGTAGTTGTCTAGTTTAGTTTATATCGTTGCAGTAGTGGTGTAGTTAATGTTATATCGCTGCAGTAGTTGTCTAGTTTATGTTATATCACTGCAGTAGTGGTGTAGTTGATGTTATATCGCTGCAGTAGTTGTGTAGTTTATGTTATATCACTGCAGTAGTGTAGTTTATGTTATATCGCTACAGTAGTGGTGTAGTTTATGTTATATCACTGCAGTAGTGGTGTAGTTGATGTTATATCGCTGCAGTAGTGGTGTAGTTGATGTTATATCGCTGCAGTAGTGGTGTAGTTGATGTTATATCACTGCAGTAGTGGTGTAGTTTATGTTATATCACTGCAGTAGTGGTGTAGTTGATGTTATATCGCTGCAGTAGTGGTGTAGTTGATGTTATATCGCTACAGTAGTGGTGTAGTTGATGTTATATCGCTGCAGTAGTGGTGTAGTTTATGTTATATCACTGCAGTAGTGGTGTAGTTGATGTTATATCGCTGCAGTAGTGGTGTAGTTGATGTTATATCGCTGCAGTAGTTGTGTAGTTTATGTTATATCACTGCAGTAGTGGTGTAGTTTATGTTATATCGCTACAGTAGTGGTGTAGTTGATGTTATATCCCTGCAGTAGTGGTGTAGTTTATGTTATATCGCTGCAGTAGTGTAGTTTATGTTATATCGCTACAGTAGTGGTGTAGTTTATGTTATATCACTGCAGTAGTGGTGTAGTTGATGTTATATCGCTGCAGTAGTTGTGTAGTTTATGTTATATCACCGCAGTAGTTGTGTAGTTTATGTTATATCGCTACAGTAGTGGTGTAGTTGATGTTATATCGTTGCAGCAGTGGTGTAGTTTATGTTATATCGCTGCAGTAGTTGTGTAGTTGATGTAATATCGCAGTAGTGGTGTAGTTAATGTTATATATCGCTGCAGTAGTCGTGTAGTTGATGTTATATTGCAGAAATAGTCACTCCAAACTGTCGTCTTTGCTGTCGTCATTTTAACCCATGCTTAATTATCATGTTCATCTTTATGTGTGGTGTTGATGGAAGCAAAACTATGAATGTCCTATCATGAACAATTAGGAATAAATTCTGCTGCTTTTGGCGTTGATCACAGTAAATGGCAAATGCATGTTCCCTCTTTTGGACTGTTCCATGCTCATTTTCTGAATCTGAATCTACACTATTTTATTACAACTGCTTGTTTTCTTTGCCAGTGACAGTGATGCTATTGATGCTATGCCATTCCTGGCAGAGGAGATGAAGGAGAGAAAGATGAACACTTCCTCCTCTGATACTGATGACGTCACTGAAGATGCAACCAACAGTCGGAAGAGGAAGAGGGTAAGACATGTTGTGCTGACATTTACTCTGCAGTTCTGTGGTTTAATGGAACATGTTAATACATGTACTATATTAGTGTCAAAATGTAGGCATCAAGTTTACCTTTTACTTTAAAAGATCGATGGAGAGAACACGCTTATAATCAATTTTACTTTTAAAGATCGATGGAGAGAACACACTTATAATCAACTTTACTTGTTTTAGAGAGTTTGACATATTTAAAACATATCTTCAAACTAACTTTGTATTCTTCCTTTTAAATTTTAATCACCAGTTTCAGTAGAAAGGGAAATTTAGACAGTGAGCTTAGCATGCTTCTGTTTTGCCCTTATTCTCTAAGTCATTGCAGTTTTTTATTATAGCTGTCACAGGCAAATGTTTTTGTTACTCAGATATGGGTAAGTTATTGTTTGGCCCCATTTCTATTCAAAGTGTCACCTTATGGAACGCACATGTTCAGGGCTTATCTTTGTGACATGATGTTGTCAAGTTCCCTGTGTAAATCTCAATATTAGCAAGATGTAGGTATTGTTGATTGTGGTTTCCTGGTGGTGCAGGGAGATAAAGTGAAGGGCAACAAGAGATCGCGCCTGGAGAAGCCCCAGGATCCCAACAAGTGGAAGTCTGAGTGTTCGCAGCTCATTACCAGGATCCTGGAGTGTGAGGATAGCAAGCCGTTCAGGACCGCTGTTGACCCTGATGAATATCCAGTGAGAATATTGGACTTAGTCAAACTTCCCATAGTCCACACACTATCTTTTAGAGTAGTAATAGTTAGTATTTAAATCTAATTTAGTGTTCAATATTGAAATTTCACATGTCTATCATTTTGTATTATAAGTTGTAATTTCTTGTGATGTAGGACTACAAGGTAAGGATTTGTACTAAGTTGTAATTTCTTGTGATGTAGGACTACTACAAGTTTGTGGAGAACCCAATGGACTTTGGCCAAGTGCTGGAGAAGGTGGACACTGACCAGTTTGCAAACCCCATTGAGTTGTGTCGGGACGTCAGACTCATCTTCACAAATTCCAAGTCCTATAACACTAACAAGAAATCTAGAGTAAGTCTATCTTGATTACAGCTTCAAGGGATGTGGTGAAATATCTTGGTGAGATGTGAAGTAGCTTGGTGAGATGTGGTGAGGTAACCTGGTGAGATGTGGTGAGGTAACCTGGTGAGATAGCATGGTGAGATATGGTGAGGTATCTTGGTGAGATGTGGTGAGGTATCTTGGTAGGATGTGGTCAGGTAGCTTGGTGAGATGTGGTCAGGTAGCTTGCTGAGATGTGGTCAGGTAGCCTGGTGAGATGTGGTGAGGTAGCTTGGTGAGATGTGGTGAGGTAGTTTGGTGAGATGTGGTGAGGTAGCCTGGTGAGATGTGTTGAAGTAGCCTGGTGAGATGTGAAGTATCTTTGTGAGATGTGGTGAGATAGCCTGGTGAGATGAGCTCTGAACATAAACGAAGAAGAAATATGCCATTATTTTATAATGAGAATCAACAAACTCAATATTACAGGTTCAGAAACATGTTATTATTACAAAATCTAAAAATTTGGCTTGGGGATTCTCATTGCGTTGTTTCCATACAGACTGCACACGCAGGGATCTTGGACCCTGACTACTTGTCCTTGGTTGCCATGGTAGCCTGGCTGGCTGTATGGACGGTGTGACTAGAGCATCTGCCCGCGACCGGGTAGATGGTGTTTGAATATGACAGGCAAACACCTGCGACTGGGTAGCCTGTTGATAACCCAGCTAAGCCTGGCGAGAATGAGTATCTGACCCTGACAACTTGTCCTGGTCCATGGGGACCTTACAATATGGTTGGAATGATCGAGTGTATGTGACGAACTTATAGGGGTGATATGTTCAGCATGTTGTTATGTGGATAAATGCCAAATGATCAGTTGGAAACTAGGTAGACAACTGGGAATCCCCCAAGAAGTAAGTGGTAATATATATAAAAAAGGGGGAACATCATGTTAGATCATGTTGTACTACACTACATGAGTGCTAAATATTAGTATGCACTGCACCTACATGGGAAAAGAGACATTATAGTTATGCAGATGAGCTTGTCCTACTGACCAGCACTTCCTAAACAAGAAAACGTGGTTAGTCATGTGAATACTGAGAACGTGTGTGGACAGAATCCGCTGAGTAAAAACACAAATATGGAATACTAAACTTCACGAGTTTCAGAAAATTGGTTTTACACAGGAGCAGGTTCAGTGTTGTATTTATTACTTGCCTTTTGGAATTATACTGTTCAGTGTGAATAGGCTGACACCTACATGATCCGGCATAATCCAATTGAGTTTAACAGAATAATACTTCAAACACGTCAAAAGTTGAAATGTATGAATTTACTACCATACAACGGTCCACCTTTGGAATTCCAAAAGATTTATCGTAGCGCTAAGGTTATCGCAATTCACATACTTTAACTTAGACAAACGACTGTCGTTGCGCTACAATACGATCACCTTGTGGAACGGGGCCTTGCACCTCAAAGTTTACAATCACGTCACAATACCCGATGACGTAAATTTGTGAAATTTTGTTGCAAGATCTATGGGGGAAACAATGCCATGTGACGTCAACCTAGCAACAAGGTTGCTTGGATCATCGAGTGTGCATAAGCTCCTCTCAGTGATCTATCATCTCCACACGCATATCGTTGAATAAGCCAAGGGATGTTGCGAGCTTTCAGTATTTGTTCGTGAAACATGTTCCAAGAGTACATAAGCACACGTTTTGGTATTACACAATGTGTAATACAGCTGTATGTTTATTAAACGGGTGATCTCTGAATAAACATGAATATTATGACAACGTGAGAATGAAAACAGAGATAATGTGAATAGCTATTTACTGGTAACGTGTACGAATGTGACCTAAACATAGGCACCATGGAGCCTTACCAAGTCCTGAGTGTACACACAGACCTTAGGGATAAACATTAAGGCCTTGATCAGCTTATCATGAAAAACATGCAGTATGCCCTGATCCCCCTGCACAAGAGAGAACTTATAATAGCCTATGGGTGTTGGCTATAGTGTTTTGGGATGTGTGGATATACCATGTATAGCACTGGGATGACCATCGTCTTTAGGTCTGGATCATGTGAACTGGAATGTTGGGTCTCACTGCTGAGGTTGCTGCCCCGATTCCAAATGAGTGTCCATTAAATGTGTCAGGGTTGTAGCCTGCTGATGCTAAAACAGATCTGAGTTGTTGAATGAAGAATGATGGAGAAAGCGCTCCATTGTTGGGTGTCACAAATAACGGTGCGTTGAGTTGGCAGTTAGATTGCGTCCGCCAGATCAGGTAGTGCCACATGCTCATTACTGGACAGATGTGGTTGTTTATTCTGTTAATGGTCAGGGTGATGCCTTGACGGAACGGGTCAGTTTGGATGATATTAACGTGAGATTAAACTGAGACTGGTCACTTGCAAATTGAACTGAACTCAGGCATAGGTGGAGATGAGGATTAAACATGTCACAGGTAAATTCTCTAAATCTCAGAAATGCAGAGAAAGCTAAACTCCACACTGCTTTCATCAGGAGGAGGATGTTTGTCCGCAATCGACCCCGATGGCTTTCATGACACAAATTACTGAGCACTTCGTTTGTGAAGGGTAACCTGATTCGACTGGAAGGACCTTGCTGTTCTTTGCTGGCCCAGACAATGGTTTGTAGACACAGTGCATCTCCAGGGATCCATGGGTGGCACATGAGGGTACCTCTTTCCTAGCTCCTTCATGATCATTAAGACATCATCTATCCTGACGTAAGTGAGCCATCTGTCTATGTCGATTATGGAGTTCAAAGTGAGGTGTTTCTTGTCTTCATGTGAAACCAGTCACTAGTGTGGAGACCATGTGTCTATCAGGATGTTTGGCCAGTGTTGACCTTAAAATGTCAATACAAATTGGTGATTCAATGGCCTGGAAGGTGTGGAATTGTTCAGGGACCAGTCATTTGGTCTTCCTAGTGTCTCTGATGCTTGCATCCTTGCTGGCGTGACTACGGTCCTGTCTACATTTGCTCTGTGGATGTTTTTTCTTGCATGTGTGGCAAGCATGCAGAAAATGACACTGCGGGTAGGAGCACCTGTCTTCCTGGAAGTTATTGCCTATCTGTTGACCCAGGTGGTAGACTATGGCCCTGCCTTTAATGTCCTGTGTTGGAATGTTGAAGTTGTGCTGATCTGTAGTTTTCGTGCCAGGTTGGGCATTGACAGTAAGTGGGCAGAATTCTGTGAAGTGTGAAATGTCTTGGCATAGAGTGCACATGTTCGCCTTCCTGTTGCTGAACACTCTGCGATATATTTCCATGTCCATAGTCCCCCAATATATATTAGTTCGCTCAACTGCTGGATGGCTGCTGCAGATTTGGCCCGAAAAGAGTTTATGATACGTAAATTTATCATATAATGGGTAGGTTTCTCGGCAGGATAAAGCCAACGGATAAAAACGATATCCGTTGGGGTCATATGCAGATAGAGATGCAAATATCAAAGGTCACGTAGGGACTACTTTCACTGTTTATAAACAAACACGGCGTCGCACTCGTCATTCGGCGATCGAGTCAGAATTAACCATCGGGAATCTGGATAAACTACAGGGATAATTGCTATCATTATCAAAAGAACAGTCTAATATACTGAAAATCTGTGTCTAACTGTGACGTAGCTAAGGCATTTTATAAGTTTTGGCAACTTTGGAGATATACATTTCGAAACAATTTCGCGAGGGCACGAGACCTAGCCAAGCAGGATCAGTAGCCATATCTGTGCTTGTAGACCTCTGCGGCTTGAAACCTCCTCCACAAATTAAAATAGTTGGATTTGGCGGAAATATGTTTGAATTGTTACCTTGTTTCGTTTTGTCGCTGTGTGTACATCTGACAACACTTCTTATCGTTATGACAGGACAGACCGACTGTCGACAACATCTGACCTTGGCCGTGACGTCTCATAGACTAGGGTTAGAGTAGTTTCCCTTTGACAAAGGGCAGTTACTCTAGCGGACAGACCGATGGATTGCCGCGAAAGACAATTAAAAACAATTGTTGTTTTGCGTATATGTTGCTAGGCCACTGTATAAGAAACATATTTCAGTTGGAACTATATTGGCTACTGTCACTGTCCGACTGACACATCACTTACCCTGTGACGTAATAAATATTAATGCGCGCATTCCAGGAAAACTCGCAATGTTTCGGTAATGTTTGTGAGTGAGGGAAAGCGATTTTGAAGCACAGAATTAAAGAATGACATTATATGATAAAGAGGTTATCACGCTTGTGTGTTTGGGGATGGTAAATATCCTGTATTAGGAATAAACACTATGAATTTAGCTCGCCAAGGCTCGCTAAATACAATGTTTATTCCTAATGCAGGATATTTACCATCCCCAAACACACTCGCGTGATAACCTCTATGTATCCATCGTTGGTTTTGTTGCTGAGGCTATTGATAATTCGTTGATATTCATCAAACTCTTTGGCTCTCCACTCATGTGCCTCTGTCATAATTTCCTTGAAGCTCAAAGTCTGTTGAGAAGTTCTGCATGGACAGGGCCTGGTGAAGTCGTTTGTGGGGGGTAGTTTTAACTTGTAGTTCACAGTTTCCTGCTTCGATTGTTCTGGGGCCAGTGATAATTTTGTCGGGCATCAGTTACAAGGCTAAGTTAATGTCCTTACCCTCCTTATTTGTTGCCTTAGGGATGCCGATATGGTGTCGAGGTGTGGCAGGGTGTTTGGGTCTCTACCAGGTTGACGAGAGTATTCAGTGTCATCTGCATTGTGGTGGCCAAAGTGAAGTGAGGCCTAGGGCTAGCTGACAACCATGGCTGGGGTGCACTGATGCTTGGTGCTGTGGATGCTTCTTGTCTTGCTGTGTGCTGGGTATTCCCGGCATATGGAGCTGGAGAGCATGGCCCCCGATGTCTGCAGATTCTTTGCACTATTTGCAGCAACTATGTGACTGTGTTCCTCCCAAATACAAAAACAAATAATGTATGATGTGACATGATATCGTAATATAATTTTTAGTTTTTAGTGTAAAAGAACTGATTGATTTGTCAACAACATTTTGAGTGAAAAAATATTTGTTTACCAAGTTTGATTGATGATTTCAGATATATGCAATGACGTTACGATTATCGGCCATGTTTGAAGATCAGATCAAGGAGATAACCTCCCACTGGAAGTCTGCCAGTAGAACCAAACAGCTGCCTAAACAATCTGGCAGGTATGCACGCTTGAATGAAGTCAGGGAGATGGGTAACTGTAAGAACTGTGAGGTATCATGTTTTACTCGTTGTGAAAGATTAGGGATAGAGACGTAGAGTTTTCCCAACTGTGTCACAGGGTACTCGTACAGTTGTTAAGGTGGGTCTTTTCAGACTAAAGTGTGTCACATGGTACTCGTACAGTTAAGTTGGTCCTTTTTAGACTAAAGTGTGTCACAGGGTACTCGTACAGTTAAGTTGGTCCTTTTTAGACTAAAGTGTGTCACAGGGTACTCGTACAGGTGTTAAGGTGGTCCTTTTTAGACTAAAGTGTGTCACAGAGTACTCGTACAGTTGTTAAGGTGGGTCTTTTTAGACTAAAGTGTGTCACAGGGTACTCGTACAGGTGTTAAGGTGGTCCTTTTTAGACTAAAGTGTGTCACAGGGTACTCGTACAGTTGTTAAGGTGGGTCTTTTTAGACTAAAGTGTGTCACAGGGTACTCGTACAGTTAAGTTGGTCCTTTTTAGACTAAAGTGTGTCACAGGGTACTCGTACAGGTGTTAAGGTGGTCCTTTTTTACTAAAGTGTGTCACAGGGTACTCGTACAGTTAAGGTGGTCCTTTTTAGACTAAAGTGTGTCACAGAGTACTCGTACAGTTGATAAGGTGGGTCTTTTTAGACTAAAGTGTGTCACAGGGTATTCGTACAGGTGTTAAGGTGGTCCTTTTTAGACTAAAGTGTGTCACAGGGTACTCGTACAGTTAAGTTGGTCCTTTTTAGACTAAAGTGTGTCACAGAGTACTCATACAGGTGTTAAGGTGGTCCTTTTTAGACTAAAGTGTGTCACAGGGTACATGTACAGTTGTTAAGGTGGGTCTTTTCAGACTAAAGTGTGTCACAGGGCACTCGTACAGTTGTTAAGGTGGTCCTTTTCAGACTAAAGTGTGTCACAGGGCACTCGTACAGTTGTTAAGGTGGGTCTTTTCAGACTAAAGTGTGTCACAGGGCACTGGTACAGTTGTTAAGGTGGGTCTTTTCAGACTAAAGTGTGTCACAGTGTTAAGGTGGTCCTTTTCAGACTAAAGTGTGTCACAGGGTACTCGTACAGTTGTTAAGGTAGGTGTTTTAAGACTAAAGTGTGTCACAGGGTACTCGTACAGTTGTTAAGGTAGGTGTTTTAAGACTAAAGTGTGTCACAGGGTACTCGTACAGGTGTTCAGCTGGGCCTTTTCAGACTAAAGTGTGCCAACCAGAAGAATACTTTTCATTTAAAAAAGTAAATAGTTTATTTAAAGAGTTTTTTTGTATTAATCCAGTTGACTCTAACAGAAGGAATTTTCTCAAACTTTGATTTCAATTGTATGACAGCAAATCGTCCCGCACAATTATTAAGACAAACGGGAACTCCTCATCAGCGAGCCGTCGAGATCGAGCCCCAGGGTCATCAACTGACAGCAGCCAACAGTCATCCAGCGCTAGCTCTAGCACCACCCCGGTTCGAGTCACCAGGTCACACGGAGGGGGCGAGCGGGGCTCAGCTGATGGCTACAGCAGTGGTCCCACACCCTACCCCCGGTCCCGGAGGACTGCTCACACTTCACGTATATCAGGTACTACAGACTACAGCCTGCTTGGCCCTTTCTCATCAGGCAATTCTCACATGATCATATATATGTTCATAACAATGGATTTAATCATATTTTTGTGCTAGAAAAGATTTTAATTTGGCTGAAATGGTATTTCCAAATCATAGGAACATTTATGTGGTCACATGGAGGTTGAGGTACAATTTTCTTGTGTTTCATGTTGTACCTTATATTTGCAGTGTGCTATGTATGAACAAATAGTTGTGGCAGCAAAACCAAATGAAAGGATTAACATGAACATGATGAAGAAGTCTTTAAATTGACAACTGAGATGTTTTTATATTTCTTGTGAACATTTGAGTTCTTGTGAAGTTTGATATTGATAGACAGATGAAGTGAGATTGGCCATTCACCTGTCACGTGTGGGAAAATACAACACCCCATGAATGATAGAAAGTCAGTAAAATATGGCATTTGAACATTCTTGCTAAGGAAGCTATTTAGGTCAAGTTTTGTGTGATACTCTTGTGGATCCAGTAGCATTCTGATTGGAATGTTGCCAGTCATATTGGCAAATGGAAATCAAGGGTGGGTAATTTGAGATTCCAAGAACCACGGGAATGGATCCAGAGGTAAATGTAGTTTTACCTAAATGCCAACCCTGGAGATATGGAGGATGACTGGTGGGAAGTCTTAGGTATACTGCTTACCAGATAATTCATTTCTTTTTGTTATCCCCCCGACATATAATGACGGGGGGAATATAGCCATCAGTATGTCTGTCTGTCTGTCTGTCTGTCTGTCTGTCCGTCTGTAATCATTGTTTGTCCGGAGCATATTTCCTGAACCGTACAACCTAGCTTCCCAAAACTTGGTACACTTACCAATCAGGCTCAGTAGTAGTGCCTTTTGCTATTTAGAGATTTTTAGAATTTTTGATTTTTGTCGTTTCCGTGGAAATATGATGGATGAACTTAGGAAATTTGAGGGTAGTGCTCTTGTCCGGAGCATATTACCTAAACCGTACAACCTAGCTTCCCAAAACTTGGTACACTTAACAATCAGGCTCAGTAGAAGTGCCTTTTGCTATTTAGAGATTTTTAGAATTTTATATTTTTGTCGTTTCCATGGAAATATGATGAACTTAGGAAATTTGAGGGTAGTGCTCTTGTCCGGACCATATCTCCCAAACCATACAACTTAACTTCTCAAGAGTTTTTACACCTATCAAGCAGGTTATGTAGTGGTGCCTTTGCTATTAACAGATTTTTTCTTTTTTTTTCTTTTTTCAATTTAAATTGAAAATTGATGAACTAAGGGTAATGTCCTTGTCTGGAGTATATCTTCTAAACCATGCGACAGAGATTCACCAAACTTTATGCACATATCAATCATGTTCACTAGTAGTGCAGTTTGTTATATTTTAATCTTTTTAATTTGTAGCCCCTGACATATAATTCTAAGGTGTACTATTTACCAATTGAATATACTATATATGATGTGAGCTATATAACCTAGTACATTCTCTTTATGCCTTTGTGTCATGAGGCTACTACAGAGCTATTCATATGCGAATCTGCGAAGTTATTGTTATTACAATTTCATGAGATCATCAGAAAGTGAGCTACATGAACCAATATTTAATAACCTTCATTAAATATGTCTGGTTTTGGCATCAAGGAAAAAAATTTCCTTGCCAATCTAAATACATTTGAAGGTACACACAGTTTACCGACATGCCACGTCGGGGGGGATATGTCATCTTCGGATGACTCTTGTTTATGATGTGAAGTGGCACGTCGTTGATTAAACATCAATTCTTGCTGTCTACTCAAGTCTCAAGTCAGATGTTTTGTTGATAGCTCGCAAGGTGATTGGGAGTGATGGCGAGAGTGAGGAAGATGAAGAGACCGAGGTAGAGGAGGAAGTGAATGTGAATGTTGAGGATGATGAAGAAGAGGAAGAACAAGAAGAAGATGTTGCAAAGGTGCGGCGGACCAAACGGAAAGCGGCTCGTCGCAAAGTGCTGATTGACAAAGAGAGTGATGAGGAAGAGGAGGAGGAAGAAGAAGAAGAAGAGGAAGAGGAGGTTGCAGCAAAGCCACGGGGCAAGGTCCAGCCAAAACGTACCACAAACCGGGCATCAGGTGGAAGAAGTGAGTCACCTTTATCAGACAGAGAGAAAATAGATTCTTGTTGCATATTCAGGGTTGTGGAAATAATAATTATGATCTCTTGTTCTCTTGCAAGTAAATGGTAATTTCTGCTTCTCCCATATTTTAGTTTTAGTATTGTATTTATGTCCATATGTGTTTAACCTTAGTTGGGCTGGAGTTGCCAGCTTTCAACACCCTGCACCCCTTGAATCACTGGTCAGTTGGGATGGTATTTGAAGGTTGCACTTCAAGAAGGTATTGTGTACAGATTGCAAATTAATGATGAAGATGAAACTGGTTCTTATCCCTTCAGTCCTTGCACATTGACATTGTATCCCAATGGATTGGGGCATTGCTTATGCAAATAAGCACTTTTCTTGTGTCTCTTGGTAATATTGCAAAAATGACATCAAAGCGACATTGCTTTCTCTTTCTCTTTCTCTTTCTCTTTCTCTCCTTCATTCCCTCTCAATCCCTTGTGTCTTTTTCAGCAAGGGATGTTGTGAGTGTGAAATGGTAAGCCCTTTCATCCAAGTCCCCTCTCTCTGTTTCAGGTAAGGGTGGAGTCTCGAACGGTCACTCCAAACCTTCATACAGAACACGGGCTGCTACTGGCAAAGTTAAACCTGCAAAGTACATGCCTGACGAAAGTAGCTCATTAGTCTCAAAATCAGAATCAAACTCAACAGCCACATCATCAACCAACTCCCCCAGTGGCAGAACATCATCGTCAGACAGCAGTAGCAACAACAACAGCGGTAGTGGCACTGATGACCACGGTGATGACGAGGATGACAAACAGCACAGTGACTATGTAGACTCTCCTAGATCTTCCAAACGTGGGGCAGCAAAACCCGCCACCAGATCAATCCAGAAACAAGTGGAAATTGTGCGTCATAGTGCAAGAGAAAGGCGGAAAGTTCAAGACAATATGTTTGTGTACGAACAACAACGAAAATCCAGAATCAAGACGAGGAACCAAGGGAGGAGGACAGTTCAGTATCAAGAGGACGAGAGTGACAATGAGCGAGCAAATGGTCGGAATGGAATGGTGGATTCTGACTCTGACTCTGACTCAAGTGAGAACCGGTCATCTCCAGATATGACCTCTATGAGTAGTAGGGGTCGAATACGGAAACTTACACCGCGTGCCCGGGCTAGTCTTATGGGAGACTGATGTATGGAAGGGCATCTCATCTAAGTGCTTTAAAGTGGTGCATGACGTGGATACTTCGCTCAAAATACTGCCATAATGTACGCCCAACTGTTACCATGGTTACCGTGTGGTATTACTCATATGTGTTTGTGTGTGAAGATGTTCCTGAGTGGATGTTTGCGTGAACCTGAATCAGAAGTTTCCTGTGAAAACCAGAGTGTTAATATTATGCAAATGTGTGAAATCTTTACCAAGCATTTATTTCTCATCACTTTTTCAGTTCGCAAAGAGAATCATAACACATTGCTACAACATGTATAGTGCAAGCCTTCAGATGGCAAGTACGAGCTTATTGGAATCAAAATCTGAAAACATCACACTGTGAAATAATTCTACCCGGTTAGTTGACAATTGTAGCATTCAGACTCTGCCAACTTAAGGTGAATCTGTAGACAAATGTCTGTGATTAATATGTGTGGTTTGCAAGTCAACTGCAGTATCACTTTTGCTCAATGAAACCATTTTTGCTAATGCCAATGAATTAGACTTCTAATTTTCTATCAGTCTTGTGATATGATTGCTTACAGCTACATTGTAGGATAAAGAAGGAAAGTTCATCCTCATCATATATTTCATTGTATGTTTCATCATTGATTGTCATCAGCTGATCACAGAGAGTGATGGTGTTGAGACAGTGGCAGCATATGGAGTCATTTCTCCTCCTCAGGAAATAGTGCTTATGTGATGAACTGTATCATGTAAAACTTTGTTCATTTTCTTTGGATGAAACAGTTCAAAGTCGTGATTCATTTTGTTGTAAGAAAGATGAGGAATATTGGTGTGCCAGTCATGGAGAAACATGGTATCAAAGTTAATTATAGAAAAACAGTAAAATGTTGAATTTCTCAAATTCATATTGTCTCAGTACATGTAAACAAGTGTGGTTTCCAGTACCCAACTGAACCATTTTCTGCCTATGTTGCTTTGCTGTTGATGAACAGTTTAATAACAGTGAAACTGTGTAAGTCTGGACGGTGTCCTTTCAGGTCAAATAGCCTGGATTAACAAATGTCTGCATTTACAAACCAACGGTGAGTAGTAATGTTCCTTCCAAAACATGGACATTGAGAAAAATAGTAGTCTAGAACACAGGGTTTCCGGAGTATTGAGGTTTCACTGTACAGAAGCATGTTGTTTATCCGTACACCTCTGGTTTGAAAACTATGTTCATGTGATTGAATGCAGGGCTATCTGACACTAGGTAGCTGAGGCTGTGAAAAATGGCCGGCTGACCGTCAACATTGTCAGTGAATGTGTTTGTGTGGGAGGCCGAAGCATGGGCTCAAACTAACAACCTGACACTTGCTGCACCCAGATGACCAGCTGCATGTATGTAGGCATTTCATCATTGACAGTTATGTCTGACTTGACAGAAATCAGGAAACCCATGTTTATTTGTTAATATTTCTTATTTCCAGTGGATGTTGTTGAAAATCTCTGCCATATATCTAGTGTGTCGAGAAAAGAGGAATAACTGTAGATTAAAGAAATACCAATTTCATTCTCAAATTTAGATTGAGGTTTATTTGAACATTTCTGTCCATATTTCAAGTAAAGGATAACACTGTAAACCCAAGGGAAGGTATTTATCTGTTTGTATTATAGCGTGACTACCGTATTGTTTCTCTATAAGGTATCCTGATGGTTCTTATTCTTTCTGGTATTTCTTGCATTTCGACAGTTCATAAGTTATTTAAAACTATCTTCTCGGTTTTGGTTGAACATGTAAAACCTCTAGTTTGGGCTTTTCCCTTGCTCGCAGTTTTACATTTTCAACCCAAGTGTTTTAACTATAGGTTAGAAACTGACAGAAACATCTGGAACAACATTTATCCCCAAGTTTTTGTTTCCAAAACACTTTCCATGAACCTTGGGAAACAAACCTAATATGTATCTTCCTGGCGTACTTGTATTTGAAAAAGAGATTCTTAAAAGCATTATTATTCTACAGATTTATCAATGCCTCTGTAGTTAGTGGTTCACTCACTAGGCTACAAGTATGAAGCTTGCAAATTTGATCCCACTGAAATATAAGTAAAATATGTTGTTTGATTTTACATTTTGCACATTTCCTTAAATTACATTGTAGTGTGTCCTGCAGATTTTGTTCAATTGCAAAAGAAATCTCTAGGGACAGGGACTTCTGTAGAATAACCATGGGACTGTGATATTCTACAAAAAGTCCCTGCTAAGAGGTTATTCTATGAAAAAAAGGAGGATAACATCACAAGAGGTTTATAAGGCCATGTCAATACATCTTTGGCATTTGCCATATTTATTTTGAAAAAAGATTTCCAAACATTACATCATATGAACATGTTGGAACCACACTTGTTGACCCCTCTTCAGTGTGGTTAAGAAGTGAATATATGGCTTAGGTAGCAATACATGTGTACATGCCCTCACAATACTCCTGGTTATGTGGAACTAACTTGACTGTTACTGACATTACATAAGATAGGATTATTCTGACCACGAGTCTGTCCGAGGTAGCTAGCTGTCTTGCTTCTAGCTACTTTCATTACTTTCCAAGTTTACCAGTATTTGTTCAATATATAATTGTATATAACACTGACTTGGTCAAAAGGAGAAATCTAGTCTTAGAATTCTTTGATATTATACTTGTATGATGGAGTTTCGTGATACAGAAGTTATTTGTACATTTACAGACTAGTTGGCATAGTGCATTAATGCATAGGGATAACTGGAATCAGTTTTATATAATCAAGGGTTATGAAATGAAATGTCAATGTGATTTACGGAAGCCTTTTAGGGCCACTTGTTTTTATGTTGTTTTTTTCTTGAAATTTCAAGTTAGTATCGTGAAGTTTCAACATAGCTTCTTGCAATTTCAACAAAGCATCTTGAAATTCTAAGTTGAAATTTCAAGATACATATATTGAAATTTATAGTTTTAAAATGTCAACTTATTATCTTGAATTTCAAGATCATTATCTTGTAACTTCAACTTGGTATGTATTTAAAGTTTCAACTTAGTTATCTTGAAATTTCAACTCAATATATTGAAATTTCAATAAAATGTTAAAAAAAATTAAATGGCTCTAAAAGGCTTTCGTGGTGGTAAGCAAATTTAAGAAAATATTTGTTGGATGGATGGAATGAGTGGCATTTATCATGCATGCAAGTCAAATAAGCTATGCCATATTTCCTCAAAATGAATTATAAATATTGGATATTAGTAATTTATACAGTTCTTGACAACAGCTGTATCTCTGACATGTCCTTTTTCCAAAGTAAAAGATTACATTAATGAATACAAGAATTATTGATTTGTACAATTATGTTACAGTATTTACTGTTTGCTGACTAGTTATTTCAACCATACAACAGTGAACAACGATGTATTCATCTCAGCCTTTTTAACATGCTCTACACCAAGTTGTCCTATGTCAGTATTTTGTTGCATATCACTTGGAGTCATGCTATTTTCCTCTTGACTGTCAATCATGGACAGAAAACACTGATGTCTGTAAGTTACTATCATGTGGGGTGTGTACGAGGGCTAATAATGAGTAATGAGGGCAACGATGGGTCTTTCATACATCAAAATATCCTTATTGAGAGCTTTGGGTGTAATTTCTACACTATCAAACAGTTATTCCAGTGTGTTGGACTGTTCGACTTAGACTTTGCGAGATTTGAATGTAGCAAGATTATTTTCTGTTTAAGATGTAGCTATTTCTTCAACAGGGATAGGCCGCTGTTTTTTTAAAGCAAACCTGATTTTGGAAAGTGGAGAATTTGTTTTTATTGAAATATTCTCCTAAAAAAGCTTTTCCTTCTGATTAATTGGTTTGACACATCTGTCATTATGGTATATACCTCCTTCAGGAGGTTGTCGGGACGGTTGGGTAGCCTAGTGGTTAAAGCGTTCACTCGTCATGCCAAGGAGCCGGGTTTGATTCCCCACATAGGTACAATGTATGAAGCCCACTGTTGGTGTCCCCCGCCGTGATATTGCTGGAATATTGCTAAAAGCGGCATAAAACCATACTCACTCACTTACCCACTCACAAGGAGGTGGTCAGATTTTGAGGCATGATTACCTCTACAGGCATGAAAGTTTGTGTTTGCATGTATCGTTACAAATCCTACCACATGAAATGTTGGTAATGTTTATCAAAGGTCAAGGTCATCTTTAAGGTTATAAAACATGCCACTATCATCGCATAGTTACTGTTTCACGTTTAATTGTACAATCCTGAAATTAGATAATTGTTGGATAATTGTCTTTATTGAGGTCAAGGTCTGAAAGTCATGTTTCTTGACAGGAAGTACATGGCACGATGCCATTTGTGAGCGTTACGGAAATGGCAGTGAAGGGGGCGAAAACCGCATTGTCAGTGGTTCATATTGGGAAAGGGAGGTCACTCTAATTTCAAACGGGAGCTATCTCTGGTGTTTTCGTATTTGTACGTTGTTGGTCCAGCTATTAAATGCCCAGCTTATCCCTAAGGTAAAATGTATTCTTAATTAAATGTTTGAATGCATTATATATCTATGTTTCTAAGATTGGTTTAGTGCTGATAACCATTTTCTAAAATGTGGGCCCACATTTTTCCCGTCATCTATGGTGATCGAAACAAGTGGGCCAACATTTGTATTTCGCCTAGCTTCGTTAGGTTGTTTCGTTAGTTCTGATAATCAATTCCTAAATGTGGGCAGAAGTTCTTCCGTCATATTGATTACAACAGGAGGGACCATGTTTATTAATCGCGAAATTCGACTTAAATATTGATAATAAATTTTTCAAATGTGGGCCCACATTGTTCCTGTCATATATGGTGATCGAAACAAGTGGGCCCACATTTGTATATCGCCTAGTGGGTAGACGTTCTTCCGTCATAGTGATTGCAACAGGAGGGACCAAATTAAAAAATCGCTAAGCTTCATAAGCTTGGCTTACTTATGACCATTTTCTATAATGTGGGCCCACATTGTTCCCATCTTATTGTGATCAAAACAGGTGGGCCCACATTTGTAAATCGCTGGGTTTCATTGGGTTGACAAAGTCATTTAGGCTAGTGGGCTCACATTTGTCATTACTTTGCATGGGTATGTGACATTATATATTATTCTTATTTTGCAATATTGATGGGAAATATCTTTATAAATCATTTCGTGTGTCGTTAATTCCACGAAAGGCACAAAAGTCTTTGAAGTTTGAATAACGTCATCATAGCTGACCACACTAGTTTTACAAAAATAGCTACAAAGCAAGAAACTTAGATCAACTTCAAGTTAAATTTACAGAGGCAATACCACTCATTCTACTTTTTCCAGTATAACACATCAATCTAATCATAAGTGTTGGTGGCGATATAAGCCTGAAAATATGTCTACATTTGAATTGAACTCGGACATGATACAAGCCTGAAACGCTTCCGAGAACTTGTTCCATTAAAGGAATAACTCATGAATATTAATGACCCCACGACCTAGTTTGGCGATGTTCGTAGAAGTGAGTTCTGCTGTATTGCCATCGCATTAGTACATTTTAATCCAATTATAAGTCATAATACTTATTTTAAATAGACAAAATAGCAGTTCGTAATGCGGGTTTGTTTACGTAGTACATATTCTCAACAACAAGTGCGTTTAGTTTCAAATGTGGGCCCACCTCGAACTTTCGATTAGGCAAACGGAGTTAGCTCCCTTCTCAAACCACCGATAATGCAGTTTCGCCGTTTAGGGGCTGCTCCTGTTTTTTTGCAAATACTTGCAAACACCCCTGTCTATCAATGTCTTAATGAAGACACCATTTTTCTAAAACAAGCTCACGATTATTCAGTTTCATTTTCCACAACAATAAATCACTTGATGAATTCTTCAACCCCACCTAACAATTGTCTTAGTACTTATTGCTCTTACCCTAAATGGTGAATGAAAAGTGCTGTTCACTTGATTGGACACATAAGATATTTTGGTTAACAAATGCTGCTGTTTCTTCTTCTCTTCCTAACCTATATTTGTTATTCAATATTTTATGTTTAAGTTTCTTGTTTAAAAAGAAATGATTGTCTTATGTTAGTCACTGAATGCATCAAACACCAGCATACTTCCAGAATAGAAGACGCAGTTGGTTCAAACAAAATAGTTCAAAGGAAATCACTTGGTAATATGTGTGAATGTATACCAGTTTATTGAGTGATTTTATGTTGCAACTTTTATTTCCGAGACATAATGATGAAGACGATTATGATGAAGACGATGATCATGAAGACGATGATGATGATGATGATGATGATGATGATGATGATCCAGGTTACTGCAGCCATGTCGGAGCACCTTTAGAATACAGTACCACAACTTCTCGTGAGGACGATCTCTGCCGTAGGTCATGTGTCTCAAAGACAAGCAACCAGTTTTTGTGAGAATCGTGACCTTGCGACCTTCAGATTGTTAGCCTGACAGCTAAGTGACTGATCTACGTCCAGACTGTGAAACCATGTGCAAATTTACCTAGTCATGCCTATGACATTACGGAACTGAACGAAAAGGGTCGAATAGGTGACGGACACTTGCGAAGGTTGTTGGTAAACATGGCATTTCGTGACTAGTCTGCGGACACTTACATGTGATCCCAATGCCATTTTGTGCACTCATCCCATTCCGTAATCTACAAGATACTGAGTGATGAGGCAAGAGCTGCGAACTCAAAACGGCTCCAGGTGTCAGATGTTGAACTCGCAGGTACGCATTTGGTACATTTGGATGTGTTCAGCGCAAATATATTAATATACCTAATACACTGCATTCCTGTGCATAATAATGAAAAATCATTAATTGAAGAAAACATATATATGTATATTAGTTCCCATGTAGCCACTTGAATTTGGAAAAAAACAAAATGAAAAATGTATTTAAAATAAGTGATTTCATAAACTAGCGCTTGCTGTAAAATGCGCCACTGCAGGCAATGTTTAGTAAACAAATATTAAAAACTCTCAACATCGCTGGGCTTATTCAGTTATATTGCATGTAGAGATGATAGATCATTGAGAGGAGCTTATGCACACTCGATGACCCCTGAGGTGTGACTGACAACAAAATACTACAAATTTCGTCATAGGGTATTGTGATGTGTTTGAAAAGTTTGTGGTACTGTATTCTACAGGTAGGCCACCACGTCTAATATAGATGGTGCACAGATCCTTACTAGGGTGGAAACTAACTTGCAATATTCATACACCTTGTGGTCTTAGCAGTTTTTATCTGTGGTCTTTTTGTAACATATGAGCAAAATAAATATGTTTCAAAACTCTTCTTTTACCAATGCTTGAGAGACATGTGACTGTTGACATGTATAGTTGCATGAATAGATCTTATCAAGACATACACTACACTGTTCATTCCTGTGTATGTGTGGAGAAGCATGTGTACTGAATCGTTAGATTTTGTTCTTTGGGAAATTCCATTTTTTATTTGGCTGTGCAATATGAAATTGGACTAGTTCCATTGTCCTCTGAAGCAGACCCAGAGGTATGAGACTTAATCCGAGATGTACCAATGTGTCTGATACAACCTCCATTGTCAACTCAGAAGTTACACATACAAGTACAGATGAACATGAAAGACAGTATAGACAGGCCAGATTAAGACAGATAGTAGTTCTTCCCAATGTGCGGACAAAGTTGCTAGAGAACTGGTAAACATGTAACGTCTTTAACCGAAAGAAGCTTTTTTGACCCCAATTAAGATTGATCAATGTGCCCTTGTGGCAACTGATGAGAAGACATGAACCCACACTGTATGATTGAGTGTTGACAATGTGATCCCACTTACAAGCGAGACCTGGTTATTAAGACATCATTACTTAAATGTTTGTTAGATGTGAAGTGGATTGTTTCTTCTCAAACTACCGGGACTTCCTGTATTTAGGTCCAAGTGTAATTATGCTCATGGACCCACAAACGGAAATATTTCCGTATATAGGCCCATGGACTTGAATTCAGATATTATTTTTGAGCGATCTTCTGTAAGTTAATAACTTACTCCCTTTGAAAGTTGATATGTGGCCATGCACTACTCGAGGCAAATCCTAATGTACATTTAACAGTAAGTTTGGTTCAAAGTTAACTTCATGTTTTATATTTTCTCAGTTGAAACAACTGAAATAATCTTCCGAAATTCAGTCCTGGGCTTAATTTCAGTTAAAATATTCATACAGGAAGTCCTGGCAACACCCACAGGGAATATCTAGGTAACAACCTTTGTGACAGAGGTATAGATTTCGATAATACGGGTGAAATAAAGATTGTGATCTTGTTTTGACACTCATTTAAGACTAATAAAAACCCTGACTATTTAATACTGGTTAAACAGAGTTGTAGTGTGTATCTTCAAGATGGGGCCCCCATTTCACAAAGCAATTGTAACTTGACGACTGTTGGAATGTTTGAAGGTTATGACAGCACACAAGTTATGCCGGCTGTAGTGCTATTATCACAGTGTTAATTGTGGCCCTTGTCCCTCCATCAATGGTTTCAGTGTGCAGGTTTCAAGTTTGCAGCTTTGTAGCCTGATAATGGAACATGTTAATCTGGTTTGAAGACGTGTATGTTTTTGTCCATGATTTCATCGTGAAGCATGTTTAGTGCAAAGCATAATCACAGGTTGCCTCCAATATTATCATGAAATGGGTGCTACACTACAGTTGCATTTGCATAAATAATTACCATATTAAAATAATACTAAATGTTATTGTAAATTAAGATGTATTATTTATTTGAAACATAAGTCCATGTAGTTATGTACAGATATCTGACAGTTGTATAAGGTGTATGTCGATTACATGACTTGTCAAGTTGATCTCTGTGCAAGTGATGTGTATTGCTGTCAATCAATCATCCCAGGTGTTTGTCGACACACAGCTATCAGCTGGCCTTGTCCTTTCTTGCCTGGATGCTGAATGCTGTTTTGAAAGATTGTCATGTTATGATTTAAGGTTGAAATCTTCATGTATTCAGGTATGTGTAATATATACTTGTTATGTACCTTGGTACATTCCTCATCATCTTTGAATAAAAGCCAAGTTTTCTTAACTGTGTCTCATGTTTTATTTAACTGTTAGAATGGTAAATGAACAGCTTCAAATGTTTGGGTAAATCCTGATAAAGGTACCAACTTCTGTGAGATTGAGATCTACATATCACAGGGTATAATATTTTCGAAAACTCTGAACAGAGAAACTGAGTATTCATGATGTTTTTTATACAGAATTTCTAATATAGAGAAACGCACTGTTGTCCAATTCCCTGAAATCTGTAAAACATCTTGACGGAATGCGGATAAACAGAGGCCTTTCTCACCAGAAAGCATGGTACTCGCTCCATACCCCAAGGGAGCTAAAAAATACTCACCACTAATGAGAAGAAACAATAAAGCGCTATTAAAAAATCTTATTACCATAACTGACTGACTACCGTTACACTCTCCCCGAAATTAGTATTAACCTAATTTACATTAAACAGTGAGAAATACTGATGTGGTATAAATATAAACACAATGGTTTGGCTAACAATACAGTATTGCAAGTGTCATACCCTGACAATGAACAAAGGTCAATGCTTTTTGGCAAAATAAAACATAAAATCATACAAAAAATAAAACATGAAAATACAAATCATTGTGACAAAGTTTATAGTTCGGATCGGATTCGGAATCATCACTCATAAAGTTCAATGAACCCGAAAATGAATTTAGCACAGTTCGGAACACCATACTGCAAATGAATTTACACACATTTGAACACAGTTCTCTTTTTCTAAGAGAAGCACAAGGTTGTGAACTGGTCTCACAAAGTTTGATTCACCACAGTCTACTTTCACAGTTCTGACTAGACCATCTTCACTAAGGTACACTTCTGAGATGCGTCCAAGTTTCCAATGATTCCTTGGAATATTGTCGTCCTTGATTATCACGATGTCGTTTACAGAAAGATTTCTACATGGGGCAGTCCACTTCTGCCGCAACTGAAGACTTTGCAGATACTCTTTCCTCCAACGACTCCAGAATTCATTAGCAATGTATTGAACTCTGCGCCATCGCTTCCTGGAATACATGTCCTCCTTAATGAATGTTCCAGGTGGCGGAAGGATTACCTTAGACTTCAAGGTAAGAAGGTTATTTGGTGTCAGAGGTTCTGGAGAGGACGGATCGCACAGAGTGTCAACAGTTAAGGGTCTGCTGTTTACAATGGCAGCAGTTTCACACATCACAGTACGGAGGGATTCATCATCCAACTGTGATCCAAAGTCATGAAGTAAAGCAGATATGACATTTCTTGCAGGTCTTATCTGCCTCTCCCAGACACCACCCATATGGCTTGCACATGGTGGGTTAAACTTGAACTCAAAGAAATCACAGTCTCTCTGCAATAGGAATTGTCTCACTTTTCTTTGATCAAGATTTGTTAGAACACCAAACAGTTCGTTCTTTGCCCCTACAAAGTTGGTACCTTGATCGCATCGTAGTTGATGGATCGGACCACGCACTGACATAAAGCGTCTTGCGTTGATAAATGAGTCTGTACTCATTGACACAACAATCTCTTTGTGTATTGCTCGGAAACACAGGCATGTGAACAGAACACCGAATCGCTTTAACTCCTTTATCCCTTCCTTTATATAAAAGGGTCCGAAACAGTCTACTGCACAGAATGAAAATGGAGGAGCTTCTTCTGTCCTATCAATGGGAATATTTGACATCTTCTGGACTTGAGCCTTGCTCCTGAGTTTCCAACACGAAACACATTTTAAAATGTAGTTGGACACACCTGAGCTACAGCCTATGATCCAGTATCCACTTAATCTGATCTGATTGAGTGTTAGACCTTTTCCCTGATGATGAACTTGTTCATGGCAATGGCGGATAACAAGTGTTGTTATGTGGTGCTTCTTTGGCAAGATAACAGGCTATGTACACATGAAATCTGTGAGAGTCATTTGAGATGTAACCCAACACTATTCGACTGTCAGTCCAGTAGAAGTTTTGCACTTCGCCGAGATCTAATTCATGAGTTAGGAATTGTCCAACTTTGACTGATGTAAGTGCAGCGGTCAGTTCCAATCTTGGAACGGTGACAGATTTGATTGGCGCAACCCGTGCCTTACCCATTATCAGAGAACAATGTACCTGTTCATGTTCATTCATTAATCGGAGGTAGGAGCACTGTCCATAACCGCTCATACTTGCGTCAGAGAAGTGATGCAATTCTGTTGCAAGAACATTCCCAAAGTCATGTGGTTTCACACATCTTGGAATTCTCAAATCATGAAGTGATTTCAAGTCTGTTTTCCAAGCATTCCATGCCTTGAGGATACCATCAGATACCGGAGTGTCCCAATCATACTGATCCTTACACAACTCCTGAAGAATCGCTTTACCTCGGAGAATAACTGGGGCTAGTAGTCCAATTGGATCAAAGATGGAACTAACCATTGACAATATTGTGCGTCTTGTGACAACTTTGTCCTGGTGACTGTCAAGTTGTATCTGAAACATGAAACAGTCCGATTCTGCACACCACTGTACGCCTAAAGCTCTTTCTGTTGGCAAGGCGTCACAATCAATCTCAATGTCCTGAACACCAATTACATGATCCTCAGGCGGTATAGCTGACATTACCTCCTTAGAGTTGGAGATGAACTTATGCAAATGATGGCCTTTCATTGCACATACACTCCTGCTTTCATTAATGAGTGTCACTGCATCACAGGGTGTAGGAACAGAACACAATCCGCCGTCGACATAGAAGTCGTTCTTGATGAACTGTGCTGTGGCTGAACTTATGTCTGTCACATGGTCTGTCACTGTTTGCTTTAGTGCAAAGTTGGCACAGCCTGGGCTTGACACAACGCCAAAAAGATGCACTTTCATTCGGAATTCGACAACTTGATCCTCAGCGTTCCCATTTCTCCACCAAAGGAACTTTAGATAGTCCCTGTGTTCCTTGTTAGCAAAGAACTGGTGAAACATTTGTTTCACATCACACATCAACGCAACAGATTCAAGCCTAAATCTGCAGAGCATGCCTAACAGATTATTGGTTAAGTCAGGTCCTTTCAGGAGACAGTCATTTAAGCACTTGCCATTATATCTGGCACTACAGTCGAAAACGACTTCGTATTTTATTTGGCTTCTTAGGGTGATATACTCAATGGTGCGGAATATACCATCTGTTACATGCATGTAGTTCACCTACAGGAACTTCCTCTGTATGTCCACCTTTAATCATGGCATTTATAAAGGCGGAGTAGTCAGTGTGGAACTTTGGATTTCTACGGAAACGTGATTTTAGTCCATCAAGTCTCTGAAATGCCATTCTCTTGTTATCTGGAATCTCTGGGAGTTCCAGCCTTGAATGGAAGTGGCATTTCATAATGTCCTTCTGCTACATGAATGCCTTCTTCCATCTGTTTCATGAATATCCTATCATCATGAGAGATGTTGGAAGCATTGTAGTCATTCTCATTAAAGTCTTCAAAGAACATGCGGATCACCACATTTGGAACAAACTGCTCCTTCACAGATGTTCTGTGAGATAGATGAACTTCGGACGGTGGACGTAGCTTGAGCGGAATTTCACATGACATCACTCTGTGACTGATGCCAATTGAATCGGAGTTCTCAATTTGTGTTTGATCAATGATACCGACAACACCCCATCCCAGGTCGGTACGTTGTCCATATGGTTGACCTTCCTGAACTGGTGCGATAACCTCACGAGGTATGAGTGCTTGTGGGCAATTATAGCCTATCAATAGACCGATGTCAACATCGTATGTTGGCTTCAATACATCACACAGCTGTCGTAAGTGTGACCATGCTTGCACTTTGTCGGGGGTTGGAATATGGTCCTTATTGGCTGGTATCACATCCCTTGAATATGTTCCAGGGAGAGCAATCCTGAACACATTGTCCATTCCTCGAACTTGAAGACCTCTGACCTTCTCACTTCTGACATGTGCATTTGCTGAAGTCATTGTAGAGAGCAACAGATTAATTGGTGTACCTGTGACACTGAGTTTGTTGCACAAGTCTTTTAACACAAAAGTCGCATCGGATTGCGTATCCAGCAATGCATATGTCAACAGTTCATCTGACGGATTATCGGAATGAGATACCCACACGGGTAAATTCATGGAGCACTTATCCACAGAATTGCTTCCATTACTGAGGTGGCTAATACTTTTCAGCTTTGTCTCCACAGAAGGCTTAGGGAGATCACCGTGTAACATAGTAGCATGAAGATGTGAGCATGTCTTTAGCCTGTTCTGACAAAACTTTAAAAGATGTCCTGGCTTGAGACATCCAAAGCACACTTGACTGTCTATAAAGAACTGTTTTCTTTCAATCAAGGGTTGAGACAACAATGTCTCACAATCATCAAGCTTGTGTTGACCTTTACAGAAAAGGCAAGTTTCAAATTTCACATTTGATTTCTTGTCTAATTTACCTGTGACAGTGCTTAGAGATGAATCTTTCAGATTTATGTCGAACACTGTACCATGTGGTCGTTTAGCTGTCGGATGCTGTGACGATGCACAAGTGTTCCGGGGCTTGTTCTCATATTTCAATTCCAAGGGAAAAGAAGTGACAGGATCACACATTATTTCTGCTTCCTTAGCAATGAAAGTCACAAATCTTGAGAATTTAGGAAACTCTGATGTCTGTTCCTTATATTTGACGACTTTACGTCTCCAACAATTGAGGAGCCAATCAGGTAGCTTCTGAATAAGCTTACGATTTTCACATTCATCATTTAGGATGTCTAGTGATCTGACGCTTGACATTGCTGTTTCACACTGTCTGAGAAAGTCTGCAAACTTACGTAATGCATTACCATCCCTTGCTGGTAGTTTCGGCCATGAATCTAGACGGTCACGAAACGCACCTCCAATAATGGAATGGTTTCCAAAACGTTCATCAAGCAATTTGATCGCCTCACTGAATGCATTCTCTGACGATAAAAGAAAAAATCCCTCGACAGCCTCTTTGGCTTGTCCGTCAAGATAGCGTTGCAAATAATAGATTTTTTCAC